CATGGTTTTGTTTTTTCAAGATGCTGGTGAGTTTGGCTCAGCCCTGCGACTTTCATCCCGCGTTCGCCAAGAACGTCGGCCTGAGGGCACAGGCTGAACAGGGCCGAGTCAAGGCACGTTTTAGGCTTGCGCTACTTTAGGCCTGTGAGCTTGTGCCTGAATCGTGAACCCTGGGCCAGAATTTGGGCTGGCAGGCTTCTGAGGGCTGCGCCTGGCAGTGTCATACTGTTCTCCGAAAACCCTAAACCCCTAAACCCTAAACCTAAACCCGAAAACCCAAAACCCTAAACCGAAACCCTAAACCCTAATCCCTAAATCCTGTCTTAGATTGAGGCGGAGCTGTAGCTTCGGCGCCTGTGTGTCCCTGCGACCTGGTGAGGCAGGATGTATGGGCCTGCATCCCCCTCAGCCAGAAGAAGCATTCCTGAACATCCCAACCCTAAACCCTCAACGGTTTAGGGTTTATGTTTTAGGGTTTAGGGTTTAGGGTTTAGGCGGCCCTTAGAAACAACAGGGGGCCCTAAACCCTAAGCCCGAAACCTACAAACCCGAAACTAAACCCTCCTTCAAGGGTTTAATTCATCTTAGGTTTGGGAGGAGTTTTGAAGACCCAAAGCGGTTAGGGTTTCGGGTTCAGGGGCTTCATGGGTAAGTCAAGGTAGGGTGATACGTAGTGTAAACGATGGCAAGAACCTTGCTGGGGGGCTACTTATCCTACATTATTATGGGCCCTCTCCTTGTTAAGAACCTTATGTACAGGAATCTATAAGGGCCCCATACTTCGCACCCCTATAAACAGGGTTTAGGGTTTAGGGTTTAGGGTTTAGGGTTTAGGGTTTAGGGTTATGATACCAAGGGTTCATGGTTCCAACCTTAGAGTTGAGAGGGGGGGGGGGGGGTTGAATGGGGGGTAGGGGAAGCCTAGGGAACCTTAGGGAGTGGATACCGAACTCTATAAATCGGAACCTCTGAAACCACTTTTATCAGGCTTACTTCTCCCTAAGCAGCCTGGAACCCAGGGCGGATAGTATAGAAAGGAGGGTAGCCCTAAACCCTGAAACAGGGGGGCACAGTAGTAGGGAAACCCATGAGCTGCGCGTGTTGGAAGCAGCCCTAAACCCTAAACCCTAAACCCTAAACCCCCCAGCTCGCAGGGCCGTAGCGCGCCCTCCTCCCCAACGATGCGCGAGGAGGCGTGGGGGGGGGGGGGGACCTGTTGCCTCATGGCTCGTAGGGTCCCTAAACCCTAAACCCTAAGCGTAAAACCCTCAACCCTGCAAGTCAGATGCAAAAACAAAACACCCCTAAACCCTTCTAACAAGCAGCTGAGCCAGCCTTCTGTGGCAGCCTTGGGTGGCTTAGGGTTTAGGGTTTAGGGTTTAGGGTTTAGGGTTTAGGGTTTAGGGTTTAGGGTTTAGGGTTTAGGGTTTAGGGTTGCAGAGAGAGAGTTCGTCAAAGACAGGCAGTGCAGCAGTCCTAGCCGTAAAAAAGGGTTTAGGGTTTAGGGTTTCGGCCCAAGTCTGACAAGAAGACCAGTTTGAAGGATATGGGTGGTTCGGGACGCGCACTTGGAGGTTCAGGGTGTAAGGGTTTAAGGTTTAGGGTTTAGGGTACAGATACGTAGGGCGACAAGTAGGGTATCACTATAGATAAGATAGATGATCTCCTTGTTTTGGGCAATTACTTCTTTTAACCTGCTGAAAAGTACCCACGCACTGCCATGCACCTCCAGTCAGTGGTACCCTTCTTCCCCTTTGTTGGGGGTATGGCTTCCCTCACGAGCCCAATCAAGTACGCAAGCAAGTTCAAGCAAGGGCACCCTTTGTGTAGTCTTAGGTAACTATAGGGACCATGTAGTGATTGGGAATGGTTGTAGTAACTTTTGTACGGTTGCAATCTTTGCTTCTCAGGACTCCTGATAGTTCTTAGACCCTAACCAGTCAACCCTAAACCCTAAACCCTAAACCCTAAACCCTAAACCCTAAACCCTAAACCCACAACTTGACCCATGAGGGTGTGACGCGCCCGCAGGTGCAGTCGACGCCAGTCGTTCCGCAACTGCCCAGCTCGCGTGAAGAGAGAGCGCACGCTCCTGGCATGGTCTAGAGTGTCCTGTAGACACGGGTTTAGGGTTCAGGGTTTAGGGTTTAGGGTTTAGGGTTTAGGGTTTAGGGTTTAGGGTTCAGGGTTTAGGGGCTAGGGTCTAGGGTTTAGGGTTTAGGGTTTAGGGTTTAGGGTTTAGGGAACCTAAACCCCGAAATCCATGGCTGCAAGATGCCGTCCCGAGACCTTGGCACGTGAGACCTGTGCCAGGAGCTCGTACGTAGCATTATTCTCGAGATCTGGGCCTCAAACTCTCTAAACCCTAAACCCTCAACCCAAAACCCTAAACCCTGGTGATCTTGAGGTTTAGGGTAAACTTCGGGTTCAGGGTTTAGGGTAAGGGTTTAGGGTTAGGGTTTAGGGCTCGTAGGGTTTAGGTTTAGGGTTTATTCTGCATACTCCCCCAAAGCCCGCGAGCTTCTGTTCCCCATTAGAGCCCTTGACACCCCGAGCTCTTGACACCCCTTTAGTAATCCATGTACCTTTGTACCAACCGTCGTCCTTAAGTAGACGGGATCCCTTAAATTGAGGAACTATACTGTCACGCATACACTTGGTAGCCTAGTGGAACCCTTTTCCCATTGTGTTGGGAAAAGGTTCCCGTTTACAGTAACCAACCTATCATAACGTGGTTACTGGGCAACCACCTACATAACCTATGCGGCTCTATCCATGCTGTACGTACGCTTAGAGCGCCTACACCCGAAACCCGAAAACCCTAAACCCCAAACCCTGAACCCTAAACCCTAAACCCTAAACCCTAAACCGACCTCATCACATGGCGCGCCAAAGCAGGCCCAGGAAGTAGCTAGCGACCGGATGGGGGGGTTTTCGCTTCGGAGAACCGACGCGCTATAGTACCCCCCCCAATGGTGAGTTCCGATGCCTGCCTCAAGGTTCTAAGCAGGGGTTTGGGGTTTAGGGTTTAGGGTTTGGGGTTTAGGGTTTAGGGTTTGGGGATTAGGGTTTATAAGCTTTGGGTCTTGGGGTTTTGGAGCTTTTATAAAGGCTTGGGGTTTGGAGGTCTAGGTCCTGAAGGAATATGCCTAAAGTCAAAATTGGTATTCGAGTACGCCCCCAGGCACTAATTTGTTTCGGGCTTAAGGGTTTTGAGATCATACTTGCATGTTCATGGGTCCTTACTAGTGGGGCTAGAAGTGGGGTAACTATGGCTATCACCGTACATATGGTACTCATCATTTATATCCCTACTTCTGAGTACCCCATGAACCTGCAAAAAAAAACATGTGCTGAAATCATGAGATCATACTTGCAGGTTCGCGGGTCCTTATAAGTGACCTTACCTATGGTACTCGCAACTTATGACCCTACTTCTAAGTACCCATGAACATGCACCAAAAAGAAAAAACTATGCTGAGATCATCTCCTTCACGCTTATGGAGACCAGGTATCGGGCTCCCTCGCCTTCTGAATGTGCGCCTTTCGGCCCTCTCGCATTCTACCATGTAGCCCCTAAACCCTAAACCCTAAACCCTAAACCCTAAACCCCCGATGGCTGAATGGCAGGATCCTGGTTGTACCTATCTTCGGGGATGCTTGAAACTGCAAGGTATGCCTGCATTGCTACAGAACCTTGGTGACGAAGTTATAAACCCAACAGGAGAGATTGAAACGGCAGGCCTGAACCCAAAAAACGCGCGGCCCTAGACCCTAAACTCTAGACCCTAGACCCTAGACCCTAAACCCTATACCCTAAACCCTAAACCCTAAACCCTAAACCCTAAACTCACGAACCTCTGTTTCAAGAATTCAGGGACCGATGGTTTGGTCGCTCTCAGCTCAGAGATCTTCGGGTTTAGGGTTCCCAAAGAATTTTTGTAGGGGGGGGGGGGGTGGAACTCGTAGGAGGTGTTTAATCCACGAGACTCGGCTGATAGCGCTTGGCGTCGCGAGAGGGGCTGGAAAGGACATGCCGGGCCTGCAGCGCTTCTTTCATGGGCTTCCCTACTACCTCCCCTCTTTATTCTACCCCCCCCCCTAAGCCTAGGTTCCCCCTTAATTGTCCCTGAATAGCCTGAACATAGGGGGGGAACCAGGGGGGTAGTTGTATATGGGGGTAGTAGGGCAACCCATGATTCTGGGTGCTTCTTCCAGCCTGGTGCGTCGCGCACCGCGGGATTGACATGATTAAGCAGGTCGCCTCGCAGAATGGCGAGAACGAAACATGTGCGGGCGCAGTGGGCTTGTTTCTTCTACGGTCTCAGCAGTAGTGCAGGGCCCCCCATAGTAGAAGCCCAAAAGTTGGAAACTCAATAGCCTCAATCCCTAAGAGTAAAGTATAGGGAATCCCAGCACTATTTGTCCTTCAAAAGGTTCCCAACTTTTTGGGGTTTGCTGTAGTGCGAGTGTTGTTGTCCGTGTTGTCCATGGACAGCTTGCCAGGCAGCCGTAACTCTCGAAGGGTCTTAGGCAAGGGTTGTGTCACGGTGCCCTGCATGCTGCCTGCCCTTCTACTTAAACCCACCCCCCTGCCTGAAGAAGAGGAAGCGTTGCTCTTATTTGGATCCCTTTTTTTGAACAGATAGAAATCCAGGTCGGACCGCAGCTGCGAATGAAATCAGACCTTACACCCCACACCCCAATGCAAATCCCAAGCCCCAAACTGCCCTACGTAAGACCTTGAACCCTTAACCTTAGCAGGCAGTGGACCTACCATGATTGCCCTGAGTTGCCCTGCAAATCCACGAAAGGGCTCTTTAACGTAGGGTTTAGGGTTGATTGTTCAGTGTTGAGGGTAACAGGCAAACTACCACAGGAGCCCTGAAGCAAAAAGATGTTTTGCAGAACATCTTTTAGTAATCTTACTGTTTGTTGCAAAATAATCTGACTGGTGCAAAGTTATAGGGTTTAAGATTGATTCGTGTCCTTTGGCGGCCATGTCCCCGCGCGACGCGCGGAAGAACTTCGTGCAGGCCCTTGCCGCGGCACGGGGCCCCAGTCATTCGTTTGGGTTTAGGGTTTAGGGTTTAGGGTTTAGGGTATAGGGTTTAGGGTTTGGTGCAGAAGCATGGAACACGGGGGATCTCCGCGCCAGGTGTTTAGCGTTCAGGGTTCAGGGTTTAGGGCCCGGGGTGCGTGTTGGATCATAAGCAGCTGAGAAGGCACAAGGGCAGCGCAGTGTGGCCGAGTGAGTCGGACGCAAGCCACAGCAACCTGGGCCCTGAACCCTGAAACCCAAAACCTTAAACCCTACACCCTAAACCCTAAACCCTAAACCCTAAACCCTAAACCCTAAACCCAACCCTAACCCCTAAACCCTAAACCTTAAACCACAAACCCCAAACCTTAAACTTCAGGGTTTGGCTCTTCCAATCGGGGGGGGGGGGGCGGGGGGGAACGACGTAACGAGAGTCTCGTCGGGAATGGGCATCGGAGGCTTCACTTGGTATCAGTTGCAACCCAAGCACTTCGAGGGTTTAGGGTTTAGGGTTTAGGTTCAGGGTTTGGGGTTTAGGGTTAAGGGTTTAGGGTTTTTTTAGGCTTCAGGGTTTAGGGTTTAGGGTTTAGGGTTTAGGGTTTAGGGCAAAAACAGCCGAAACCCTGAAGCCCACAAGGTGGCCGACAAGCACGGCTTGGAGTTTTCGTCGCAGTCCCACGACTGGATCTTGCAGCTCAGAGACAAGGCCCGCAGCCGGGTTTGCCGGGTTAGGGTTTAGGGTTTAGGGTTTAGGGTTTAGGGTTTAGGGCTTAGGGTTTTGGGTTTCGGGTTTAGGGTTTAGGGTTTAATTGGGGTTTAGGGTTTAGGGTTCAGGGTAAGGAATGTGTACATGCGTGATGTCGCGTCACCGTCATGACGAGAATGTGATATATGCTTTTCTCATTCTTGCAAGTTCATGAACCCGTACTTTTCAGTAGGGTTATAAGTGGGTAGCTCTATGTTTATGACCTTACATCAACGTACTTGTAAACCTACTTTTAAGTACCCAAGAACCTTTGTATAGCCAGCCCCAACATCAACCCAGTTTTGGAGTTTTGCACGAGCGGTGTGAGAGTCCTGTCGTTTAAGGCTTTATTCGGAGGTTCGTGGGCACTTAGAAGAGTGTTATAGGCAGGGCAACTCTGGTTCTAATCTTACTTAGGGTACGTACAACCCTTACTTGCAAGTACCCATGAACCTCCAAGTAAGGTTTCTTTGTCATAGTTGGGTAACATGTTACATATTCAAGGGTACTTCAATAAGGAATAGAAATTTAACCTTTCAATGCTATCCGAACCATGACCTAGTGGGGTAGTTCTGGTTCTAATCTGACGCCAAGAAAGGTTTAGGGTTTCAACTCATGCGTCCTAAACCCTAAACCCGAAACCCTAAACCCTAAACCCTTGTGAACAAAACTCATGCATTCCAGTGATGCAGGCCACCGGCAAGCAGTGCTCTGTGTTTGGCTACACCTTCGACGTGAATCCCGTGCTGGCCTCGGGCTTGTTTCGTTGGCATGCCTGGCTGCCCAAGACCCATGGTTTGGGGTTTAGGGTTTAGGGTTTAGGGTTTAGGGTTTAGGGTTTAGGGTTCAGGGTTCAGGGTTCAGGGTTCAGGGTTCAGGGTTCAGGGTTCAGGGTTCAAGGTTCAGGGTTCAGGGTTTAGGGTTTAGGCTTCGACGGCATGGACTGTTTCAAGGGGGCCATCTTGTGTGCCACCACTCTGTCCCTTGGCCAAGCCCTAAACCCTCTTCATGTAGCTTCCTTAACAGCTAAACCCTAAACCCTAAACCCTAAACCTTCAACCTGGCCATCGCCAGCTTTTTAAGGCGGCCGCCGTGGAGATTTGTGCGGCCCCCACCGCTGTGAAAATTGCGTCTTGGGTTTCGTGTCGTGGGCTTGGGGCCCTAAGCCCGCACAACCCAAACTCGAAACTTCACAAACCCCAAACGCAAAAAACCCAAAACCCCCAAACCCAAACCCTAAGGCCCTAAGCCCAAAACCTCGAGTTGTCGGAGCCCTGAACCTGAAACGTACGACCCCTAAACCCTAAACCCTAAACCCTAAACCCTAAACCCTAAACTCCATAAGCAGAGGCGTGCTAAGAGAGAGTTTCACTGTACTGACAACCACAGACGTGGAGGGCCCATGTAGTCAGCCCCCCCCCCCCCCTGTTTCCAGACAGGGTTGGGAGTTCCTCAGGTCTGTTTGGTGTATACTGTTAGTCATCCTGCTTCGCGCGAAGACCGACCCTAACCTCTGCTCCTGGACCTAGTTTGCAGCTGTATGTTGGGTGTATATCGTTATCTAGCATGCTTTCGTGCTGGGTTCCGGTGGGCTCACTATCCAAGCCGAATGCGGACTTGATGCACTTGTGTTGACCTGTCACTGCACCACGCCTAGTTACTTTTTTTGGGTGGCAATGCGTGGGCGCTGGTAGTCCAACACGCTTGAGCTGCTTCCAATGCGTTGTAGCGAGCCGATGTGAAGACCTCTGGAGCCTTGCCTGCGCGTGCGCTAGTATGAGAGTCGAAACCCTAAATCCTAAACCCTAAATCCTAAACCCTGAACCCTAAACCCTAACCCCTAAACCCTAACCCCTAAACCCTGAAGCCTGAACCCTGAACCCTCAACCCTACACCCTAAACCCTAAACCCTACCGAAACCCCCCCTGTGCAGCCCCCAGGCAAAGAAAAGGCAGCCACCTCGATGGTGTTGGAGAGCCACCAGGCGTCGGGCCCGGCAGGGCTTCGAAGGGCTTCAGCAGTATTAGGGTTTAGGGTCTATAGGGTTTAGGGTTTAGGGAGGCTTGGGGTTCTTTATAGCGTTTCGGGGTTTAGGGGTTTCAGGGTGTTGCAGTGTCGGTATTGGGTTTTGAGCTTTTTGGGTTTTGGGGTTTGATGTTTTTGCCAGGGCCTCGGCGCTTTTGGTCAAAGAAAGGACTCTTGCTATGCAGTGCTGTTTTGGCCGTCGCTGAGGTCGCGCACGTGCCTTGGCAGAAAAGATGGGGCGCTGGGGAGTCCTTTGCCTGCCGCAAGTTTGATGCCTAAACCCTAAACGCGAAACCCTAAAGAGTAGAACCCTAGCAGGCTTGCAGGCGGGGGGTTCGGGGGGGGTAATGATACGATCCGAACTTCCCTAATACTCCCCACTACTTCTTAAGGCTCCCTGAGCTTCCCTAAGTTAGCCCCCCATGAACCCTCCTTCCTCAGGACCCCAGCACAGACCCTCGACTCCTAGCGCAGAACCGCCAAACCCTAAACCCTCAGGAGTCCGCAGGGCGGCGGAAAATACTTTTCAGGGCCCGCAGACCGAGAATGACCGAGATGCCCTGACCAACCCATAATCCTCAACCCTAAGCCCCAAGCCATAAAGCAACATAAAGCAATCCTGAACCCCAAACCTCAAAGGCCAGAACGCCTGAAGCTTACTACAAGTAGCCCTTGAGTTTGCCGCGGAATCTTCCTGCTACATCATAGTCACATTAAAGTCCTAGTAATGAATTCAACCCCTCCCGCCCCCCCCCCCCCCCCCCCCCCCAAAAAAAAAAAAAAAAGGCATACCGCTTGAAAAGCTAAGTTTTCCCTACACCCTACACCCTAAACCATAAGCCCGAAACCCGAAACCCTACTTACAAGTCCCCATGAACCTCCACGTATAGTCTTCTGGTTCGGCCTCGCACTCTTTTCCGCAGCTGTCCGCTCCTGGGAAACAAACCGTTGAAGCATGCGATCCCTGCCTAAGGAAGGAAGGTTAGTAAGGTTAGGGTTTCCGCCCTAACCAAAAAACCTTAAACCCAAGACCCTAACCCCTAAACCCTAACCCTAAACCCTAAACCCTAGCCCTAAATCCGAAACCCAGAACCCCAAGATGTTTGAAAGTCTGCTCCTGAATCAAGCTGGCTTCTTGTGCTCCCGGAGCAGCCCAAAAGGCCCAGAGCTCCCATGAAACCCCAAACCTTCAGGGATTTGGGGTTTAGGGTTTAGGGTTTAGGGTTTAGGGTTTAGGGGCCTCCGAGACCTAAACCTGCCCGAAGCCCCGGAGGACTGGGGCTTGAGCTTGAAGGTAAAGGGCCCCTGAGCCTACTGGGAGGTTCATGGGTAGTTTAAGGTTTAGGGTTTAGGGTTTAGGGTGTAGGGTTTCGGGTTTAGGGCTTAGGGGTACTTAGAAGTAGGGCTCTGCGTAGGCGACTTTGGTTATATCCCTGTGCAGGGTATGAACCTTCAAGTAGACCCCGAAATCGACGGATGAAGCCAGGTCCCGCACCAGGTCTTCCTGAACCCCTCGAACCCCTTCACGGCGAACTACCTTCCCAGGGCTGGTGTGTGGGCCCAGGCCCGACTCTCAGTGGGTTTACGGTTTAGGGTTTAGGGTTGAGGGTTGAGGGTTTAGGGTTTAGGGTTTAGGGTTTAGGGAATGGGGCCTTGGTCTCGCACCCTCATCTGCTTGCTGCGTCCAGTCTCTCTTTTCGATTGGGCTCTCAAGAGAAGGTTCAGCACCTCCTTGGCAGATTTTGCCTCAACAACTTCTTTGACTAGATAGCTCACATGGTGTTCGCCCAGATACAGTCTTTAAACTGCTAAGCTGCACGTCTATAGATACTTCTGTAGGGAAGCCCTGCAAGTCCCCTAAACCCTAAACCCTAAGCCCCAAACCCCAAACCCCAAACCCCAAAACTCCCCCATGCTGTGCGTTTGGAGCGTCTCCGGGCAAGAGCTGGCCGCTGCGCCCTCGGGCGTCACGTTCAAAGACGTGATCGACTTGAAGTGCCACTTGCGAAGCCAGCATGGCTTCCCAGTCTGCCTTCAACAGCTTCTGCAGGCTGGCCGCTGCTTGGGGGATTTTGATCCTCTAGTCGGGCCCGTTGACCTGCAGCTGGTACTGTTATCTGCCCTCAGCTCGGAGCAGATGCCTCAGGCTGAGCGTGAGTTTTTGGAGTATGCCGTCGACACAGGCCATGTGGACGTGGGCCGCGCTCTGCTGGCGGCTGGTGTCGACAAGAACTTGCAAGACGTGACCGAGACTGCTCTCATGCGCGCGTGCTCCAAGGGCCACGTGGACATCGTACGTTTGCTGCTGGATGCTGGGGCTGACGCAAGCTTGCAGGATCGATCCGCTGGCCGCTCCGCCCTCATGCGCGCATCTTCAAAGGGCCACGCCGAGATTGTGCGGTTGCTGCTGGACACTGCTGCCAACACAAACTTGAGGGACGATGTCGGCGGGACCGCTCTCATTCGTGCATCTTGCCATGGCCACTTCGAGATTGTCCGTTTGTTGTTGGGCGCGGGTGCGAATATAAACTTGCAGGAGATGGACGGCGAGGCAGCTCTCATGTACGCATCCTACCAGGGCCACGTCGAGATTGTACGTTTGCTGCTGGACGCGGGTGCGGACCAGAACTTGCAAGGGAACTATGGCGAGGACGCTCTAATGCGCGCGTCTTCCGAGGGCCAGGTCGAGATCGTACACTTGCTGCTGGAGGCTGGCGCCAACAAGAACCTTGGGGACCCAAATGAGCCGTAAAATTGGGTCATATACCCTATACTACTATACTTCCTAGTAAGGTATATGAGCCATGAACCCTTTTTAGGGTTCATTTCCCGAGGAACTTGCAGGACCAGCAGGCCATGTCCAGTCTCATGCACGCCTCTTCGAGGGGCCACGCCGAGATTGTGCGTCTGCTGGTGGATGCTGCTGCCGACAAGAACCCTGGTAGCTGAGTGGGTGCCCTCTTCGCCCTTTTTGGGGGCACGTATGGGTTCCCTCATACAAGTAACAAGTACTTAATTACTTAAGACCCAAAAAGGGTTCCCTCACTACAATAGGGTTATGGGTTTCCCTCATACATGTACTTAAGACTCCCAAAAAGGGTACCCTTGTTACAATATGGGCTACCGAGGAGCTTGCAGGACTGGGATGGCAAGACCGCTCTCATGCACGCAGCTTCCGAGGGCCACGCCGAGATAGTGCATCTGCTGAGGGATGAGGCGCCAGGTCACCGGGATCCCTTGCTTGAAGCCGTGCGCCCTGAGGACAGCTAAGTCGGCCAAACACGCAAGCCTGAAGCGCGCTGCTCCCGCAGAACCCCAGACCCGCAACCCCCAAGCACCCTCAACGACGTAAACCTGTATCTTCACATAGCCCAAAACACTTCTACACAAACTCAACCAAGCTTGTACCCCCCCCCCCCCCCCCTGATTAAGACCCATGATACAGACCCTAGACAGTCCCCCAGGCAGGCGTTCTTATTTGGGATGTTCCCCCTTTTTCAGCTTAACAGGATCATTTTAGGGCACTAGAATCACGGGCTTGTTGGGGAGGGTTTTTTCGGCCTAATTCCCCTAAACCCCAAAACCCAAGGAGTTCTAGGGTTTCGGGAGGAGGTTCGGAGGCAAAGCCCACAAGCGAGAAGTCACAGGATTTCGGGTAGCCCTAAACCCTAAACCCTGAACCCTCAATCCTAAGCCGTAGCCCTTAACCCCAAATCCTAAACCCTTGGAAGGCGTTCTAATACAAGCGACCCGAATGTTAAGGGCCCACACTTTGGCACTCTAGATTTAGGGTTTAGGGTTTTGGGTTTAGGACTAAAACATGGGCCCGGTTGAATTTTGCTGGGGTGCCCTGGGGTGCCTTGAGCATGCAAACCCCTCATGTGTCACATGGAGCCGAGAGACCCTACGGTTTAGTAAACCCTAAACCCCCTACCCCCAAACCCTAAACCCCCTACCCCCTAAACCCTGAACCCCAGACCACATGTCCCATAGCCACTTCGCAATCTGCGACCCCCAAGGAACGGGGCTCATGTACTGACAGCTCCGGGCCCCTAACACTAAAGCTGCCCCCGGTTTAGGGTTTAGGGTTTCGGGTTTAGGGTTTAGGGCAAAAAAGGGTTCATATTCCACCGTACCTGAGCCATTTTGGCCGCAAAACGAGGTTCAGGAGGCGGTGACCAAGTACGGCTTCCCTGTCGTGGTGAAGCCCCTGAAAGGTGCACGCACTTGTTTCATGGGTTCCCCTACTAGGTAAAGACACAAAAGTTGAAGACAAATGAGACGCAGTACTAAAAGTACTTGGAGAAGCTTCAGGATGAGGAATTTGATCAATTTCTTGAAAGCATGAAGAAGGAATTCGCCCCGCTCGCTATACTGCATGTACCTGTGAAGTGTACATTGTAGGTCTAGGGCCCAGACATATACCATATAGGTACATGGGACTGTGTGTGTTTGTTATCGTGCTAAGGGGGGTTCCAGCACTTTCCTCGTGCTCCTGCTGACCTCATTTCCAAAGCCGCCCTGCAAGCGTTTCTTCTGTGATTTGGAAAACCCATAAGTCCTAAACCCTTAACCCTAAACCCTTGAACCCTAAATCCTAAACCCTAAGTCCTAAACCCTAAGTCCTAAACCCTAAGTCCTAAACCCTAAGTCCTAAACCCTAAATCCTAAGCCCTAACCCTAAAACCTTGCAAGCCCCGTCAGCCCTCGAGCCTTCCCAATGGGTTAGCCAGGTGCGTCCTTGGCAGAGGTGAGGGTTTAGAGTTTAGGGTTCAGGGCTTTTAGGGTTTGGAGGTTTCGGGTTCTCAGCCCTAGGGAACCGGAGTACGTGGGACGCCCTCCCGAAGCCTTGAGCTCAACTTCAAAAGCCCTATAAAAGGGTGGAGGGTTTAGGGTTCAGGGTTTCGTGTTTAGGGCTCAAGGTTTCCTTAACTCACAGCCATCAGCCCAAATAGTCCCTAGATAGTCCCTCCACACCTGATGTCTTGCTGCTGTGAAGGCACCGGCGGGCTTGACGTCACCAAGGCGGGGTACGAACAGGGTGTGGGGGGGGGGGGGGGGGGGGGGGTGAGCTTACATTAAGGATTTCGGATCATGGGGCTGTAGGGGTGAAGGGAGTGTCAGGTTGGCTCTAAATCCCTAAACCCTAAACCCTATGTGTTGGGCTTAGAGCCCAAAGGCCGTTGCACATCCGATCCAAGGATGCTTCGGGAGCTCGGTTTGAGAGCGCCCCCTTCAAGCTTTACATAAGCCACCCGAAAAGCCTCTAAGTGCTAACCCTACACCCTAAACTCTAAACCCTAAACCCTAAACCCTAAACCCCAAATCTACTCCCTGCTTTGAAACTTACGAGGGGGGCTTGGTCTGGGCGGCTGGAGATTCAGTTAAGGGCAAAAGCGACCGGCCATATACAGTGAGAGAGCCCCAAGTCACAACAAATTCCTTCTGATGCTTGAAATCAATCAACAAGGGGGGAACAAAATGACGAAATCGAAACAAACAGCTTCCGCCTGCTGTCGCTGCCGTTGTTGGGGCCTCCCGAGCCGCCTGCTCTTTTGGCTTGTATACCCGCCCAGAGACGCAGCTCGTGGGATATTATGCGGTTCCCTTTTCGTAGCTGCTCTCGGTCTCCGGGCTTGGTTCTCGGGGCATACGCGCATACAGGGCCTCAGCTCCAAGGAAGGAACGTTTATGTGCATTTTTCGCAAGACACTTGTAGCATCTGCTTGAGGAAGCCATATATATATATATATATACATATGTATGTATACGAAATGGTTTTCGGGTTTCCATATGCGCTTCACGACGATACTTCCTACTTGAGTCGAAAAGGCCAGAAACGGAAACGTTTCAGGGCTACCAAACGCGATGAACCCACACCAAAGTCGGGCATAGGTTAGGTTGGAAAGGTTTTAAAAGCGATTTCAACAAAAAGTCGGTCCTTCGCCCACCCCCCCCCCCCCGCCTCACCCCAGCCCTTTCCGAAGTCACCCGAAATTCTAACCCTAAACCCTAAGCCTTAAATCATCTCCTAAGCGGGTGGCAAAACAAATCATCTCCTAAACCACTTCTTCCCTTGGCTGTCAAGAAAGGCCACGTGTTGGAGAGAAGTGGAGGCGGCGGTGCAGAATATCTTCTCAAGGCCTTCCGATAACTTGGTAGCCCAGTGGTGCCCTTCACTTTTTTTGTTTTGGGTTCCCTTGTAAAGTTTTCTAGGAAGGTGCAAAGTCCCAGTTAGGACGTACGTCGAGCCTTAGTAGCCCACCGGTACCCTTTTCCCCCAGTTTGCTGATAAAGTGGCCCACCAGACAGTTTAGCGTCTGGTGTCAAGGCCCTCCTTTAACGCCTTTTTGGCCGCCCCATACCTTTCCAACCACATGGAGTTTTGGACTTGGGGGAATAAAGAGGTCACTGTTACAGCCAGTCCCGTTGCAAAAAGGGTTAGGGTTGGGGGGGAGGGGGGGGGTTGACAAAAGTGGGCCCTTTTCCAGGGTTCAGATTCAGATACGGAGGTTTAGACTCATGGTACTAGAACCCAAGAGAACCCCGGCGTAAAGCTGAGATTCCCTCCACCCTATATAGAGCCATAGTCATGCTACCAGCACGGCCTAACTCCATAAAGCGCCAAAGTTCCGAACCCATCTTACCCTTACAAGCCGTGAAACCTAAAATGTGGTTTTGGGTGGTATGTTCGGGGTACCGCTATTTGGGACATGCCCATATCGACTGTTTTTCCTAAACTGGGGGGGACCCCCTTGGGGGTCGTGGTTACTCATACTTGCTTTCTCAGCAGAGGAACTAGAGTTGTACCGCTTTTCCAGGTTGTAATCTTAGGTTTAGGGTTCAGGATTTAGGGTTCAGGGTTTAGGGTTCAGGGTTTAGGGTTTAGGGTTTTAGGGTTTAGGGTTTAGGGTTTAGGAATTAGGGTTTGGGGTTTTTAGGGTTCAGGTTTCCCCGACTTACAAGTACCCCAGTAACCTTCAAAACACGCAGGGAGTATGGCCTGGCCGTCTCGCCGTACAAGAAGGTCATCGACGAATACCGCTGTGTTTGAATCTTGGCTTTTCTGGCTGGTTCTTCGTCGGGAATGAGGGAATGAGGGCGCTTATATATATATATATATATGTATATATATATATATATATACCCCCCCCCCCGCGGCCTACCCTGTTTAGGCCTCTAAAAAAAAACAACGAAGGCCCAAAAGTCGAGTAGTTCATCACCGGGTAATGAAGGACATCTATTGGGACACCCACCTCGCAGGCCCCGACAAGCCAGCATGGGATTAATCTATATTTTGAATCTGAAGCGGACAATGAGGTTTTTAGATCTTTGGTTTTTTTATAGGCAAATTGGTGCGTTTAACTGGCAAATAATAATGTTTTGTTGGGCAACTAAAATATTTTTTGTATATACAATTGTGTTTGTACTAGGCAAAGAATTAATCAAATACTATCTGACAAGTCCACTGAAATACCTTATATTTACATATTCATGAAACATTGTGCTCATTATTGTATGCGGATATAACTCCTGGAGTATTAAGTAAATAGCCCAATCTGACTCAAGCGAATACTATTCAAAATACCATACTCAACGAAATATGAAATAAGCACGAACGGCAACGGAAGCGACTCTACTTAAATAACAATGTAAAAGACTTCTCAAGTACTAAATAAAGACCGCTTATGATTATGTACCTTCCTAGAAAAGTAGTTAGTAAAGGCCATAGCACAAGAATACTGCTTTGTACATAGAAAAGAATTTGTACTAGGCAAAGTATAAACCAAATACTATCTGAAAAGTACACTGTAATGACTTATGTTTACATATTCATGAAATATTTCTTGTTTTGAAATCATCATTCTATGCGATATATCTACTAGAGTAAGTATTAAGTAAAGAGCCCAATCTGACTCAAATGAACACTATCTAAAATACCAGACCCAACCAAAATGTGAAATAACAACTCATGGAATTCGAACACTATTCAAAATACCATACCCAACTAAAATTTGCAATAAACACTAATGGAAATAGAAGCGGTTCTACTTACATAACAATGTAAAAGACTTCTCAAGTACCAAACAGAGACCACTTATATACCTTCCTAGAAATATAGTTAGTAAAGGCCATGCACAAGAATACTGCTTTGTACATAAATAGAATGCGTGCTAGGCAAAGTATTCATCAAATGCTATCTGAAAAGTCCACCGAAATATCTTATGTTTACATATTCATGAAATAGCGCCCAATTTGACTCAAGTGACTACTAGTTAAAGGACCATACTCAACCAAAATGCGAAATAAACACTAACAGCAATAGAAGCGATTCTACTTGCATAACAATGAAATCTTTGTTTCTGAAGTATTTCATTAAGACCACTTCTATACTATGTCCTTTTGGCACAATTTGCAGAAGCAAGCTTAAAAATGCACAATCTTCCTAGAAAAGTACTTAGTGAAGGCCATGCACAAGCAAATCCGCAAGTACAAAAACACACTTAAAATGCGTAGTTATTGCCACGTCAAGGCGAACCAAAAACCGGAACTCTTGGAGAAGCCTCGTAGGGATTCCTGAGAGTTCCGGATTTTTTTTTTTTTTGTTTTGTTTTTTTTGGTGTTTTTGGTTTTGTTTTTTTGTTTTTTTGGTTTGGTGTTTTGGGTTTTTTAATTGCCCGTGTATTTCATTTTAGTCTACGCCCTAAGAAACACGCTATATTGCACACCGAGTTTGCTTGCAGTGCAGCTGGATGACTTAAGACAAGGCGAAAAAGGGTAGGTCACTGGGGGGGTACCATATACATATATATTTATGCCCATTACGGGATCCTAAACCCTAAACCCTTTAAGGGATTATACAGGCCCCTCACTCCCGACTAAGGAGCAGGGGCTTTTAGTCAGGGCATGGCACCCCTGAATTTTCCGGATTTCGGGTTTAGGGTTCGGTCTTGGTTGCACGAGGGGGGCTGAAGGTTTAGGGTTTAGGGTTTAGGGTTTAGGGTTTAGGGTTTAGGGTTTAGGGTTTAGGGTTTAGGGTTTAGGGTTTAGGGTTTAGGGTTTAGGGCTGTATGAACCCATAGACTGTCCGTAAGCTTCCGCTCCTTGACATGAGGCTGTGACAAGTTTCGCTCACAGGCGTAGGCTTCGATTCTGATCCGTCTCCGATTGGATTAATGTGATTGCCTGCAACACCAACCTACTCCTTCAGGGCCTGTAAATCCCAAAGGGTTTAGGGTTTAGGGTTTAGGGTTGAGGGCTTCGGGTTTGTCACAACACCCTCAAGAGCCGACAGAGTCGCCTTACCGGGCAGCCCTCCCACGTGTCATTAAGACCTTCTCTGCTTTGCGAAACCTCGCGCGCCTTGTGTGGACGCTGGGATCTGAGCGCAGAACCTCCCCAAAGCCTAAACCCTAGCCCTAAACCCTAACCCTAAACCCAAAAACCCTAAAACCCTAAAACCCTAAAACCCTAAAACCCTAAAACCCTAAACCCTAAACCCTAAACCCTAAACCCTAAACCCTAAACCCTAAACCCTAAACCCTAGCCCTAAACCCTAAACCCTCTACAAGTTGCAAAGCAGTTGTGGGTGTGCCAGCCGCATGCCCCTATTCTTGGAGTCCAAGGTCTTGGGAATCAGGCCGGCCGAGTTTGCTTTTGTTTGGCAAATTAAGGTTTAGGGTTTAGGGTTTAGGGTTTAGGGTTTAGGGTTTAGGGTTTAGGGTTTAGGGTTTAGGGTTTAGGGTCATATTCTTGCATCATTTTGTCATTATATGACTATTGATATATTCATATGTTAAGATATTCATATATCAGTATGCTAGTACGATATTATTGCTATAGTCTTGTATGATTATCTTCCTGTATTGTGATTTTGTTGTATAACTATATTAGGATATTGTTGTTGTTATCTTGTAAACTAAATATTAATACATTCCCTAAACCCTAAACCCTAAACCCTAGTACTTGCTTGAGTCGTTAGCTTTGCCACGCTGTGTCGGGCAGGCGAAGCTGACCTATCGAAAGGCCCCCACCTCAGCCTGTACGCCGGAATCTGGGTAGAGTTGTCTAGGTTAGGGTTTAGGGTTTAGGGTTTAGGGTTTGGGGTTTAGGGTTTGGGGTTTAGGGTTTAGGGTTAGGGGTTTGGGGTTTAGGGTCTAGGGTTTAGGGTTGTGGGTGCCGAACGCCGGCGTAGAGCTCAGCACCGGGATCAAAATGGTCCCATCAATAGCACACCCACCTTCAAATGAAGGACCCCAAACACCAGCTAGAGAAATACTCAATATGGTGAGTTCTCCAATTTTTTGGGGGGGTGGGGCTACTATAAATTGTAGGCCGGCCCCTAGTATTTTAGGGTACCCAAAGGTTCCCCTGTTTAGAGAAGCACGCATGGTATTTTTGCAAAGGGCAGCAGGGGGGTAGCTATGGTAGAACCTCAGTCAGGGCACTTATCATCTGATTAGGGTTTCGGGTCTTTAGGGTTTACGGTGTTTACAGTTTAGTGCCAAGATTATCCTTTATCGTCTCGTTTGATGACCTCAAAGCCGAAGCGCAGATGTGTGAGGGAAGGCTTGGCGGTGTGAAGAGAGTTCTTGCAGGCCCCACAGCATGCAGTCGCGACATCAGCCTTTCCGGCGAGCCACATTTCAGTTGCTCAAGGTCAGGTTTCGTGGGGCGTCATACGACGTCCGGCTTCTTCATATACTACCCCACGCCGCCACAATGGATTCAGTGAGCCGAAGCATCTTCCTGGCACTGGTCTGCCAAAGCAGTGTGCTAGTTCAGGGAACCTCCATCAGGGGAGGTTCGTCCGTATCCGCCGAGGACGTGGAGGTGGGAAGGGATGAAGAATTGAATTCATACTTCTTCTTGGTAGCCCAGTGTTGCCCTTTACCCTTTTTTTGGTTATGGGTTACCTTATAAAATAAGCCAAAACAGCGTGCCCTTATCATAATGTGGTTACTGGGCTACCAAGTCTTACTTGAAGCCCGCCCTCTAACAACCCCCCAAATTGGTCCACACGGACCCGGGTTGGCTCCCAACAAGCAAGTCCACCTGGGTGAGGCTTACGACATGTTCCGCAATCAGTTTGGCCGCAATGACGCGTATGGCTCAGAGCACTACCACGAACCTTAGTAGCTGAGTGACGCACACTTTGCACTTTTTGGGGGGCTTATGAACTCAGCAACTAAGAACCCTAAACCCTAAACACTAAACCCTAAACCCTAAACCCTAAACCCTAAACCCTAAACCCCAACTAAGGAACGGCTTGCCTTCTTTGCAAAGAGGCGGGCACAAGTCGAGGCCCAGAATGCAAAGCCAGACGGGACCTGGTGGGCGAAGCTTAACAAGTCCCTTGGCGAGCCCTAAATCCCAGGTGCACCTTTTTGGGGGCTTAGGGTTTCGGGTTTAGGGTTTAGGGTTTAGGGCTTAGGGTTTAGGGTTTAGGGTTTAGGGTTTAGGGTTTAGGGTTTAGGGTTGCACTTTGTGATAGATTGATGGACCGCCCCAGACCCTGCACCTAACCGTTGCCATGGTTGGAGGATCTGCCAGAGTTAGGTGGTTTTCCTGTCGCGCGGATTCTTCGCGGCTCTACCCTAAACCCTAAACCCTAAACCCTAAACCCTAAACCCTAAACCCTAAACCCTAAACCCCTACACCCGCGCTTCAGGTTCGCCGACATCACGGATTCCGAGTACCGGGCCATGTTGGGTTATCGTCGTATGGGCTGGACGCCAGCCAGCTCTGCAATCATGCGCCCCTTGGCTTCTGCGCGGTTTGAACCAGGGACCTTCAGCGTCGAAATCCTAAACCCCCGAAACATTAACCCCTAAACCCAAAACCCTAAACCCCAAAAACGGGTGGCCCGCCAGCGGGCTGTTGGGGGACGCACAGCTTCTAGGGTGTGGAAGGCTTTCCAGGGAACAACTAGGGTTCGGGTTTAGGGCTTTATGGGGTTTATACGGTGCTTATCCGCCGTTGCGAACCAATTTTGCGAGCTTTCAGGTTTCAGGCCTGTGAACCCCATACACCTTGTAAACCTGTATATCTCTCAGGCTTCGGGTTTTCGGCGCTTTGTCAGCCTACTAGTTTGGAAGTAACCTGTACTTGCAGTAGGCCAGAAACTGTCCTAAGGGCCGCAGAAAGTATCAGTATTATTGGGTTTGGCAGTTGAAGCTAAACCCTAAACCCTAAACCCTAAACCCTAAACCCTAAACCCTAAACCCTGCAAGGCCTGCAAGGCCTGCTGAAAAGGGAGTTCCCACTTTGCCCGCTCCTCCCCGCCCCGAACGGCAAGCAAAGGTGGCTCCTCCTTCCTGCAGATGGACCGATGGGCTGGCTGGGTGATGCACATATGTGTATATATATACACGTATATATATATATGTATATATATATATATATATACGTACACACACACACATATATATATATATATACAAAAACATATGTATATATATATATACATACATACATATGTACACATATGTACACATGTGTATCGTGCTTGGGGCTTATAGGGTTTAGGGTTTTGTGGTTGGGGGTGTAGGGAAGCATGGTCGAGGTGTGTTAGGGCCGTCCGTTTTCTTTGCGGGGGGGAAGTGGGGACCGGGGGGGGGTTGGCATGAAGGGGTAGACATATGACGCTGCTGGAGGTTTAGGGTTTAGGGTTTAAGGTTTAGGGCTTAGGGTTTAGGGTTTAGGGTTTAGGGTTTAGGGGCGCGCTGAAACCAACCCGCAAATATGGCAGAGACCGAGGGCTTCTAGGGTTTAGGGCCGTAGCCACTGCTGCGAGAGAAGGGTGGTCGGTTGTTTTTGGCTGGGCACCCTGAGCCCGGCCTACAGTATCCTCGTTGCCTTTCAAGACGGCGTCAGAGCTCCCTGGAAGTGCCCTGGGTTTAGGGTTTAGGGTTTAGGGTTTAGGGTTTAGGGTTTAGGGTTTAGGGTTTAGGGGTTGCTCCAATACAGGGCTCCTGGTTTGAACATGTGCAGGTTGTGTCTTGGTTTCTTTGCAGTGTCGTTGTTGCGCTACCAGGTCTGACGCACGATCTCTCTCTTCAGAACCTACTGCTTGGAGGTTCATGGTACTTTCTTATCCAATTATAGCTGTACTTATATCCCACTTATGAGCCCCTTAAGTGCCCGAATATGGTTATAAGTACAGTTATAAGTACAGTTCTAATTGGTTAAGAAGTACCATGAACCTCCAGGTAGGTCCTGTAACCTAAGCATCCCTTTAGACCAAGACCCGAACAAAACCCTGAACCTCCCCAACCATGACGCTGGAACCCTGCACGCACAAGAACCTGCAAGCGTGAGAGTCGAACCCCCTAAACCCTGAACGCCAAACCCCACACCCCAAACCCTAAACCCTAAACCGTAAGCCCTAAACCCTAATCCTGCTGCAGGATACCCTAGCGGCCTCCCGCGACTGGCGAGAACTCAAGTCCGGCAGCTTCCTCCGCGTGCAAGGCGCGCAGCCGCCCCAAAGCCCTACTTGGAGGTTGAGGGTTGAGGGTTGAGGGTTTAGGCCTAAAGCTTGGCAGCAAGGAGTCAAGATGCAAAAAAAAGTGTTTAGGGTTTAGGGGTTAAGGGTTAGGGGTTAGGGTTTAGGGTTTAGGGGTTAAGGTTTAGGATTTAGGGTTTAGGGTTTAGGGCGACTTAGGTGAATAAAGCTGTAGATGTACCCCCTATGTACCCCCTACTTGTGACTGCGTCCAAGCTCTCCGCATGCTGGGTTCGCCCTTATAACCCCCTTCAAACCAAAAAGGGCAGTTTTTTTTAATTTCCTGGGTTAGTAATCTGCAAGATCCTGGGTCCTGCTACCTTGACGCTGAATGAATGGTTTCAGCGTTCGCTTTGGTGAGAGATGGTTGTGTATTTATGCACGAGATGAAGGCCCCTAACTTACCGGAGTACTGCTTGAGCACTCTTAAACTTTCCATGTAGGTTATGGCTGCGGGTGAGCCTAACCGTGGCCCCGTTCTGGGAGAGACTGTGTTTCAGTCCCTTCGAACAGGCGGATGCGGCTCATGCTGGGCAGTGGCTGCAACTGGCGCGTTGGAGATGCATGCAGCTAAGCATAACATGAAAGCTACCATGGAAGCGATAGTGGGTATGATTGCCCTCATCACAGGTATTTTGGGTCCTGGTTTGCAGCAGATGATAATCGGCATGAGCATGTGAAGCAGGCAAGAGACCATAAACGACAAGCGCCCACGATACCGAACACGTCTGGTTCATGTAAGCCACAGGAGCACGAGCTTGCCAAGTTCATGTCCCCTCATTGCAGGCACCCTAAACCCTAAACCCTAAACCCTAAACCCTAAACCCTAAACCCTAAACCCTAAACCCTAAACCCTCAACCCCAGCCTTGTTACCAACTGAGGCAGAGCTCCACAAGAAGCTGCCGAGTCCCAAGCGATTGTCTTTCAGCCAGCTGTTGGACTCTCGCCTCTGAAAAATCTTCCGGCGTTTGGCCCGGGGACCACAGCATTTACTTTGTGCTTTACTGTAACTTTAGATCCTTAGCCTTTTTGGGTTTCTGGGGTTTCTTAACAAGGCAGCTAAAATTTTTAATTTTTAGCTACCCTGCTAAGTGCAGCCAAGTTTAGGGCTTGTTGTTTAGTGCTTAGGGTGTTTTGGGGGGCTCAGAGCTCCGAGTTCAAAAAGGGCTTTTACAAGGCCTAGGGTTTGTCTGTGTTTGGAATTTGGCTGCGATTTTACTCCTGCCTTTCACACAAGATAAGCAAACAAAGCATCTAGGCGGACCCTCAGGCTGGCTGAGGTTTCCCATAGTTACTGGCATTGTGTTGCAGAGGGTCTTATTTCAGAAACTTCTTCAGCGGGCGCGGAGCCGCTTAGCTGGGTTCTTGTTAAGGACCGGAACTCAAGTGACAGCAGCAGGGTTCCCTAAGCCCAAAGCCCTGAATTTCTAGTGCCCTTCCTTGGTAGCTTAGTGTTGCAAGAGCCCAGTAGAGGCCGAGGTCCATGGAGCAGTGTGGCGACGTTTGTTCGATGTCTCTGCTAGTCCTCCAGCTCTGATAAGCCACACTGCCACACTGAAGCCCTGTCTGCCCCATAGGCCCTCCATGCAAACCACAGTGGGGGAGAGGGCAAACCCTAAACCTAAGCCCCCACCCCTCAACCCTACAACCCTACAACCTAAACTGAAAGGTACAAAAAACCCAGGGGGAAAGGGAAGCCCACCACGGCAACCCTCACCCTTGAACCCTGAACGCCTAACCTTGAACCCTATCCCTAAAACCACCCTGAACCACAGACCATGCACCATAGTAGGGCGGATAGGCGGATAGCCCTATAAGTCCTACAACGCCGAAGGCCCTCTAAGCCCTAACCACTAAACTCGGTGCTCCGATGGTTCCTTTTGGACACAGGACTGCACGCCAAACCCCAAGCATTGTGGCGGGGACGGCGGCTGCTCTGGGGCCACTGCTTCTTGGCTTTAGGCTTTAGGCTTTCGGGTTCAGGGTTCAGGGTTTAGGGTTCAGGGTTTAGGGTTTAGGCTCAGACTTGAAGGTTGTATCTGGGGGGTTCCACCTTGGACCCTTAAGGTTGTGCGCTTAGGTGTTGGGGACTCTGTTTAAAGATCCTTCAGGTAGTATGAGAGAATAATATAGGGGTACAACCTTAGGGGGTACGAGTCTGAATCCCTTGATTGTAGGGTTTAGCGCTCGTGAGAGCTAGAGGGCTCAGGGTTCCCCAAACCCTAAACTTAGACCTGGTTGCAACAAGGGGTGTCGGGTGTAGGGCCGAGGGTTTGAGGGTTTGGGGTGCCCAGACGAACTTGAAGCCCACATAGACCCCCTCATGGTGTTTTTTGGACCTTGGAAATTCGTGGACGGTTGTCTTGCCTGTCCTGTGCATTCTCCCCTAAACCCTAAACCCTAAACCCTAAACCCTACACCCTACACCCGAAACCCTAAACCCTAAACCCCAGAAGACGGCCAGCATAAGGCCGAACTTGCCTTTCAGTACGTACACGACCACGGAATTGCCGCAGAGGACTCCCTTGCAGGGACTTTAGGGTAGAGGGTTTAGGGTTTAGGGTTCAGGGTTTAGGGTTGGTTCATGGGTACTTGTAAGTAGGGTAAAAAGTAGGGCAACTAACGATAGACATACCTATACTTGGTGATGTCCATGTTTACTGCGCCTGCAACCCTACTTCTATGTATCAATGGACCTCCACGTAGGAACGAACCTCTAAGTAGGGGGTGGAAGATTCCCTCATTCTTTTTAGGCGAAGAGAAAGCCTGAACCCGAAACTCCCGTCATGGACAGGACGACTACAAGGATTCGGAGGTGAGTGGCAAGTGTAGGCGCGTGTAGACCCCCAAGCAGTCAGATTCCCTGATGCTAAGGGCCCCAACAAGTGACCCCTTATTTCGGAAAAAATAAACCCTAAACCCTAAGCCCCCGAAAACATCCAATATGCCTTAGAGGGTTTTCCAGGGACAGCCTGCCCTAAACCCTAAACCCTAAACCCTAAACCCTAAACCCTACAGCTTCACCAGGCAGCCCACGTCCCTTCTGAACACGAGAGGCTTCGTGAAGCTGCCGGAGACCACCGTGGGGGGTTTAGGGTTTAGGGTTTAGGGTTTAGGGTTTAGGGTTTTAGGGTTTTAGGGTTCTTGACGTTTCGAATGCCTGAGAGAGAGAGAGGGTTTTAGGGTTTAGGGTTTTAGGGTTTAGGGTTTTTGGGTTTTTGGGTTTAGTGTTTAGGGTTTAGTGTTAAGGGTTTCGGTTTTAGGGTACCCAAAAGCCTCCTAAACCGTTCATGTTGCGGTGGGTATGGAGTTCATGAAGTCCCCAACCGAAGGTTCAATAGTTTGCCATGGACATCGAATAAGGGAACTTGGTTTAGGGTTTAGGGTTTAGGGTTCGGGGTTGCATCTTAGGGTAGGCTTGAGGCTTGCATGCCGGCTTCAGGGTCCTGCGTGTGTTAGCGCAACAGTCAAAATTTGGGTTTGATCGAGGAGAGCTGTGTCTCTTTCCGGGTTGTTGCTTGTCTTCTACATCTGTATACCTTTTAGTAATAGATAAACGCAGATAAAGCCACGGGAGCTCGCGTGTTGTAAAGGAGAACCAGCTACTGCCTCTCCTCACCACATTGTCGGAGAAGGGTCCCGCGGTTGTCTCCGTGGACGCAGAGGCATGGACCATGTATCTTGGTAGCTGAGTAGTACCCTTTTTCCCTTTTTGGGTAATGGGTTCCGTTATAATAGTACTTATCACCAAAAAGGGTACCCTTCTTGCAATATGGCTACTGGGCTAGCAAGGTATGACAGCGGAATCTTCAATGGCTGCCAGCAGGATGCGACCATCAATCACGCAGTCCTTCTTGTTGGCTATGGCCAGACGCCGTCGCTTGGCCGCCCTTGCTAGGATGATGTGCCCTCATGCTGCCAGCTGTTTTCATGAACAGCACCAGCTTCATGTTAAACCCTAAGCCCTAAACCATAAAACCCTAAAACCCTGCAGCTAAGGAAGGGGGAGAAGTATTGGCTCATTCGAAATTCCTGGGGTGCCGACTGGGGTGAAGGAGGCTACTTGCGCCTCCTACGACATGACGGGGATGAGGCGAATGGAGGGCACAATGGCTACTGCGGCACGGACTACGATCCCAAGGTCGGAGTGGGATGTCGTGGTGGCCCATCCTCCCTGCCCGTGTGCGGCATGTGCGGAATCCTCTCAGATTCCAGCTATCCGAAGCTTTAGGGCAGTTTAAAGAAACAGCGAAATCTTTGAATCGGAGTTGCTGTTGCCAGAGGCGCCCTGAGGTGCTTGCACCCTGGGGGCGCGGTCGTTGAAGTGGCTGCTTTTTGCTGCACCGTGCGCGGCGCCTTTGCCGTCCCAAAATGGAGAGGGCCGCCAGGTTCGTGGCTTTCGGGTGCATCTAAGGGTATTTGGCAAGGGTATCTGCGTAGTCCCTTAATCTGACGTATGGGCCCTTGGGTTGTATAGGGTATACAAGGGGAAACTACCCTAAGGGTGCAGGACGCTCCATACTACCAGCTGTCTCCCTCACAAGACTACCTCAGAATACCCCGATGCAATGAAAATGGTTCTACACACCGCCCCAAACACCCGTTTCAAACGGGGTGCCTGCACCCTAAACCCTAAACCCTAAACCCGAAACCCGAAACCCTAAACCCTAAACCCTAAACCCTAAACCCTAAACCCTAAACCCCTAAACCCTAAACCCTAAACCCTAAACCCTAAACCCTACCAGGGTGTCAAGTTCAACCTCAGGTGCGAAGCTCCGTGATCGGTGCGCGGAGCTCACTTTGCCGGATCTTCGGGGTTTGAGAGGGCTTTAGGGTTTAGGCCTGACAGGGGTTGCAAGGGTTTAGGGTTTAGGGTTTAGGGTTTAGGGTTTAGGGTTTAGGGTTTAGGCTTACAGAGGTTGTACGGGTTTAGGCCTTGCAGGAGTTGCAAGGGTTTTAACCGGCTTTCAAGAGCTGTAGGGTTTACTGGTAGGGCTTATACATGTTGCTCAACCACCATAAGCGCCCATGTACCTCATTATTGTATACTTGGGCCCCAGAGTCCTTCTTTAGGAGGTACATGAAGGCCCACGCAGTCCCTATTTAGGTACATGGGTGGTGGTCAAAATTATGATCCCTTTCGGGGTACCCTAAATATTAGGTGCCGCATTATAATAGGGATCCAAAACGAGACCATAATTTTGACAACCACCCACATGGACCCTTAGGGTAAGATCTTTTGACGCTGTGCTGTAGGGTCTTTTTCCAGGTCAAGCCTGAAATCAACCCTCGAGCATCCGACAGCCTGGTAAAGATTGTATAGGGGTTAAGGTTCTGGGTTTAGGGTTTAGGGTTCAGGTTTTAGGTTAGGGTTTAGGGTTTAAGGTTTAGGGTTTATTTATGGTTTAGGGTTGAGGGTTTCCGGACCCCAAGCACAACCTGAGGATGGCGTGAGCTCAGTTGGCACACTCATGGCTGCACGCCTGGCATCCTCGACACCGGAGGAAGCGCACGAAAGACTGTTCCTTGGTGGTTCATGGGTACTTATAAGTAGGGTTTAGGGTTTAGGGTTTAGGGTTTAGGGTTTCTGTTCCTTGGGGACCAAATGAACCCTAATTTTGGGTCATCTATATACCCCATACTACTAGACTCCCTATGAAGGTCTATGAGCCATGAACCCTTTTTGGGGTTCATTTGCCCCCCAGGGTTGGGGTTGCAGCGTGGTGCCGTGTAGCCTTCTTCAGAGGGTTCTTAAGGGAGGGGGTTCATGGGGAGTAGGTACCTAGGGAACCTGAGGGAACCTTAGGAATAGTAGGGAAACCTTGTGGTACATACCCCCCTTGAGACCCCGCCCCCCTTAAGAACCCTATAACTTCTGCTCTACTGCTGAGGCACATCACACGCACATAGAAGCGGAGATGCTAGTTGAGCCTTGTGATCCGACTGCTTGCAGGCACAATATTTGCTCAATACTTGTTTGGGGTTTACGAAAATAGGGGACCCCCAATATGGACCCCCAAATAGTAGGATCCCCTGACAACAGGGATCCCAATAAGGCACCCCCTATTCTTATCGTAAACTCTCTTTTTGTCGCTCAGCATTATTCGCGAGGCATGAAAGAAGTGTATGTTCCTGCTTTGCTCGCTGCCCAACCGATTTCGCCAAGACCTTTTTCTTGACCAAGCTGAAGGAACTGGGCCTAGGATACCCAGGGAGCGTGTATTCAAGCTCCGCATCATCTTCGAAAACAGCAAGGTGCACAACCAACCGTCGTCCCCTCATTCTGGGTTTGTTGTTAACGAAATTAGGTTCTCAGAGTAAGTGTCAGATGAGAAACTAGCCAACTAACTATTTGACCATAGTCTTCCTTTTGCAGGGGCCATTAACAGAAACTTTTGCCCCAGTTTCAAAAGTGGAGATCAAAAGGCTTGTTCGTGGTTCTGGTTGTGTGCTCAGACTTGGTGAGTCACCTGAACCGGAACCTGAAAAAGTAAAACTCCCTGATAAGCAAGCAATGCCCGTCCCCCGCGGTCCTGTTTGCTCCTGTGGAGTCGAACGCCCCGTGCCTGTCACTGCCATCCTGTTTGCTCATGTGGTCATCTTGAGTCGAACCTGGTCGATCTCGCAGGGAGCCCCTGATGTTGGACCAGCGTCGTGGTGGCTTCGGCTTCGGCCGTTCGACCTGCTTGTGAAGAGTGTCATGGCCGTTGCGGCCAAAACGTCGCTTCAACCTATAAATGGGATTATGGTTGAGAGATGTCCAGGGTTTAGACCCTAAACCTTAACCCCTGCGAAACGGGTGGGAGAACAACTTTAATTAACCCCTAAACCCTAAGCCCCAAGCCCCGTAGTTCGAACGCTGGTAGGAGATGGCCGCCATCCTGGCTGCGTCCGCCGAGCTCCGCCGACTCCTTGAGTGAGGGTTTTAGGTTTTTGTTTTTTTTTGGGGGGGCGGGGAGGGTTAGGGTTAGGGTATAGGGTATAGGGTATAGGGTATAGGGTTTAGGGTTTAGGGTTTAGGGTGCGGTTTTTTTTGGGGGGTAGGGAACTGAGCTGTGATGAATGGGGGCTTACAAGGTTTAGGGCTTAAGGTCTGGGGTTCTTTATGCTAAACCCTTCCGCCCCCCACGTCACTGCCCAATTCAACCCTGTCCTAAACCCTAAACCCAAACCCTAAACCCTCTCAACGGGCAGAGCTGTGAACTAATTGTTAGGTTTGGTGTCATGTCGGTTTGTAGTTTTGTTGGTTTTGTGCGTCCGGGCCCGATGTACAAGTTGGCATCGGTCTCGAACGATAGACCTCTGGACATGAATGCTCATGTAAGAGGCTGGTCCCTAAGGACCCGTCTTTCTCCGAGTGTTTCGTGGCCTTTCTCCGAATGCTGGGACTGCTGGGCTGTAAGTGCCTGGGCGGACCCGCTGTCCAACCTACCTCGAACCGTGACCTTGAATTTTCCCTGCGGAGCGGGCGCCTGATGTAGTGTGTTTAGTGCGGGTGGCCAAATATAACCCAAAACCGTGTCAACCCTAAACCCCTAAACTTGCCCGAAACCCTAAACCCTAAACCCGAACCCTAAACTCCTAAGACAAGGGCCAGAGGAGCTCGGCCGCGTCCCCGGAAAAGGCGAGGCTGCCGCGCTGCAGCCTGGACCCCTAGATGTGGGGGGGCTTCGAGATATGCATAATGCATACATACATGTATATATACACACAAATATGAGAACATACATAGAGAAGAGAGGGTCTGTAGGGCTTAAAAGGGGTTTGGGGCTTTCTAACTGCACCATCTTTGGATTCCTGCGTGCAAAAGGGGGCTGCTTTTCGACTTTTCAGGTGCTAGCCCACAGTGCAGTAGTTAGGGTTTAGGGTTTAGGGTTTAGGGTTTAGGGTTTAGGGTTTAGGGTTTAGGGTTTAGGGTTTAGGGTTTAGGGTTTAGGGTTTAGCCGTAAAAAAAGGGTTTAGGGGTATAGTAAGGCGACATGTGCGAACATGGTCTACTTGGCAGATTCATGGGTACTGTTACGTAGGGCTTTAAGTACCCTAAATAAGACTATTGCCATGGTTACTCTACTTACAACCCTGCATTATAAGTACCCTAAACACCCAAGCCCTAAACCCTAAGCCCTAAACCTCAAACCCTATAGGTACCCTGCCTCTAAGCGTACATAACCTCCGATTAGCCACGACTGCAGAGAGTTACTTACTCGATGTAATGCCCGGCGGGCGGAGCAGAGTCCGCCGGGGCGGTAGGGCGGGTGTTGGGTTTGGGGTTTTGGGATTGGGGGTTTTGGGGTTTTGGGGTTTTGGGGTTTTGGGGTTTTGGGGTTTTGGGGTTTTGGGGTTTTGGGGTTTAGGGCTTAGGGCTTAGGGTTTGGGGTTTTGGGATTTTGGGGTTTGTGGAGTTTAGGGTTTGGGGTTTGGGGTTTAGGGCTTGCTGGCTTCAGGAGTCTGGTCTCAAACAAAGGGCTTAGGGTTTCGGGTTTGGTGGGGTTTAGGGTCGGCGCTGTGAAATTCCCGTCTCAGGCAGTGGCATAGCGTGGGTTTAAACAGGACTTAGGTCACGATGAAATTCTAAATAAAGTTACATGGTCTGCTAACATGGTCCTTACCTTCTTACAAGGGTTCTTGGGTTGTATGGAGTATATGAGGGGTATATAAGGGGTCCCCTTGAAGGACCATGTAACTACCCTAACAAAAAGGCAGCCGTTTGGGAAGTCTTCCTCGCACCTGCCCGCACCTGCCCGCACCCCGCCCGACCCCACCCCTCCAGTGCCCCCGCCCCGCCCCCGCCCCCCGGAACTGCAGACGACTCGAAGTCCGATCCGATCATTGGTCTAGAAACCCTACACAAACCCCATAAACCCTAAACAAACCCTGAGCAATCCCTAAGAACAACCCCCCCCCCCCCCCCCCCCCCACAAACCCTGAAGCCTTCCCACACCAGGTGGAAGCATAACCTGGGTCAAGGCGCCTCCGCAGATCTCCAGGCGTCCCGCCCATGTCCTCCACTTCGGGGGAGGGGGGTTTAGGGTTTAGGGTTTAGGGTTTAGGGTTTAGGGTTTAGGTTTTAGGGTTTAGGGTTTAGGGTTCCCTTACTTGGAGGTTCGTGGGTTGTTACAAGTAGGGTTCGTATGTAGAGTAGCTCTGTTTATATCCCTATTTAGTGCACTTGTATCTTTACTTAAGACATATAAGTACCTATGAGCCTTCAAGTAGGAGGCTTTGGGTTCTTGGCTTCTGCCTGTGAACCCTAGAGCCCTAAATCTTTTAAAGCCCTAACCCTAAACCCTAAACCCTTACACCCAACTCTTAAAGCCCTAAACCCGAAACCCAACAACTCTAAACCCCCTAACCCTAAACCCTACCCAAATCTCTTAAACCCCCAATCCTAAGCCCTAAGCAGCCCCTGAACCCCTACGCAAAGCCTTTCGGGCTGAACGGCTGTTGGGTCGGGCTTCAAGGTTTAGGGGTTCGGATTTAGGGTTTTGGGTTTAGGGTTTAGGGTCTAGGGTTTAGGGTTAGGGTTTAGGGTTTAGGGTTTAGGGTTAGGGTTTCGGGTTAGGGTTTAAGGATAGGGATTAGGATTTCGGGTTTAGGGTTCAGGGTTTAGGGTTTAGGGAGTTAGGGACCCCGAAAGCTACGGGTTCAGGGGTCTACGTAGGGTTCAAAGGGCCTGGATGCAAAAAGCAAAGAGGGCTCAACGGGCCATTCCAGTCCCTTTATGTTGCATGCATACACACACACACAGAGATTTATAAATAGATATGTATATATATATATATCTGTATACACAAATATATACATATATATATGTGTGTGTGTGGAGAAAGTTTCCTAATTCCAAAACCCTAAACCCGAGGCTGATCAAGCTCAGAACTCCGAAGCCAGAGGGCAGACAACCCCCTGAATCTACGACAATCATACTCCCTAAACCCTAAATCCTGGCAAAAACAACCCCAAACCTTGGGGTAGCCGCTGGCGCAGATCCCCGAAGATATGGCCGAGCGTTTGGCCAAGGCCCGAGAATGAATAGGGATCAAGATGAGGCGATTTGGGTTTAGATTTATAGGGCTCGTGTTTCATGTTGATGTGTATTGAAAGTTGCCCGGGTTTGTTCATGTATCTGTGTGTGTGTTTAGGTATTTAGTTTGCCGGTGCAAAATTTCTTTTGTGAAGGGCCCGACGCCCTGAAGTAAGGGCTGAAAGGTACCGGGTCCATCGACAGGCATGGGCATGGAGGAGGCTAACATAGACCGGACGGAGCCGGACATCCCACATCCTTGGACGAAGCTGAACCCTAAACCCTAAACAAATCAAGAAGTGTACCAAGAAAAAAACCGTAAACCCCAAACCCTAAACCCTACACCCTACACCCTAAACCCTAAACGCTAAACCCGGACCTTAAACCCTAAACCCTAAACCCTAAACCCTAAACCCTAAACCCTAAACCCTAAGCCCTAAACCCTAAACCCTAAACCCTAAACCCTAAACCTAAACCCTAAACCCTAAACCCTAAACCCTAACTAAACCCTAAACCCTAAACTAAACCATGGAGCTTGGGGCTTTTTTGGAAGCTTCGACCGGCTTCGACTGCTCCCATAGTCTGGACTTCGTGTGCCAGAGCCCTTTGTTGCGCGAATAAAGGGTAGGTGGTCCCCACACCCCCAAGTGGACCCGGTGGTTTAGGGTTTAGGGTTTAGGGTCTAGGGTTTAGGGTCTAGGGTTTAGGGTTCTGATGCCCGGCACAGCCTCACATGCAAGAGCGTGCAAGCACTCGCATCCTCATCACAAAACCGCGCGAGCTTTCCAGAGCGTATCCTCATGCCCCAATCCCCCAATAAAGCCCCCTGAATCCGAAATTGGCCGGCCCAACCCCCATCATAATACATGTTACATATGCATACAAGGGTTTAAGGTCGAGGGTAAACCCTAAACCCGAAATATTGTTGTGAGTCACGATGTATGGAGTTCTTGAGGCCAAGGCCGTAGGCGACGGCACCAGGCAGAACGGTGTTGAGAACTCGCATGGCACTATCTGCAATGCAGGGTTTAGGGTTTAGGGTTTAGGGTTTAGGGTTTAGGGTTTAGGGTTTAGGGTTTAGGGTTTAGGGTTTAGGGTTTAGGGTTTAGGGTTTGCACAGTGCGTTTAAAAACTTCACCCGCCCCATGATCCCATGTGCACACCTCTTTCTTCCAGAGTTGGTTGTCAACCGCCTCATTTTCGAGTCATGGGGCTTGCCAATGTGCAAGAAGCTTCTAGAGCCCAATCGGCACATTAACATGGCGGGTTTACGAAAATAGTGGTGTTACAAATCGACCCCCTAAATAGTAGGATCCCACAATTCGGTACCCCTAATTTCGGAAGCCCCCTTATACAGCAGTCGTTGAAGTTGCGCTTTGCTGGTTTAGGGCTTAGGGAATGAACCCTGCGCATAATACCCATGAACCTCCGAGAAAGCCAGGTGGCAGCGAGTGCTGTAGATGCCATTGGCATGCGCTTCTGCAGCGTCGACATCATCGACGTGGAGGGCGAGGCACGTTGTGTGAGTTTAGGGTTTTGTTTAGGGTTTAGGGTTTACTGCCCAAGCCCGGATGCAAAAATGGTTTAGGGAGATATGACGGTTTGGTGCAAAAAGAGTTCGAGGTTTGAGGTCCGCACGGGTTCAGAGCAGGTTTTGGGGGGTTAGGGTTTTTGCTGTCTCCTGAAGCACGAGTCTTGGCGAGAAGTGTTCATCTTTCAGTGTGCTGAGCGTGCTGGCACCGACCCCAGCCCACTTCAGAAAGGATCTGCTGTTTGGAAAAGGTTCCTTATCTTGGTAGCCCACTGGTACCCTTGACCCTTTTTTTTGGGGGGGTTATGGGTTCCCTTATAAAGTAAGCTAGCCAAGAAAGGGCGCCCTTCTTCTTATAATATGGTAACTGGGCTACCAAGTTAGAAGCCGGTCAAGATGCAAAGCCTTCCGAGCTGGATGCGTGTGGGAGATCAAGAATTAGTGCGCAAGAACAGTGAGCATTAAATACTAGTGTATCAGACCATTGAAGACGTAGAATAATGCACAATAGCTGAAATATTGGACATTCTACTACTGTGTAAGTGTTTTTGAAAATGGCTTCCGCCTTATGATAACAGTCCTTAGTAGGGATTACAATGGCGAGTATGATAATCCCTGTTGAGGACTGTTAGTATAAGGCGGGGACATCAGGGGACATCCCAATGTACTAAGCCCTAAATTCTGAACCCTAAACCCTAAACCCTAAACCCTAAACCCTAAACCCTAAACCCTAAACCCTAAACCCCTAAACCCCTCACTGCCAGGGCCTGATGGTGATGGAAGTAAATGGCGGAGTGATGATGGACTCGTTGCCGCGACCTCGACAGCAGCCTCCCTGTACCAGCGCCCCCCCCCCCCCCCCCCCAATTCTTTTCAGGTTTGGGGTTTAGGGTGTAGGGTTTAGGGTTTAGGGTTTAGGGGGTTCATAGGGTTTATAGGGTTTTCAGGGTTGATAGCTTTACATTTGACATGGCAGCTGCCGTCATACTGCGCAAGTATCTGTTCGCCTTTTCCCCTGGTTAGCTGAGGCTGACAAGCTGGTACCGGGCACAAAGTTCTGCAGGGGGATCACTTTCAAGTGTAGCTTTCCACATTGGCAAGCAAAGGGCTCAAGTGTGACGTTGGGGGGTTGGGTTTAAAAGGTTTATAGGGTTTAATCGGGTTTATGGGATTTGGGGCATATAGGGTTTAGGGTTTTGGGTTTAGGCTTCAGAGTTTAGGGCAGGTTATAGGGCACTTAAACTCAAGACTCCACACCATGCACCCTCTTTAAAAGGGTTGAGGATTTCAGGGGGTTTTGACCTCATAGCATGGAGTTTTCGAAGTTGAGTGCCCTGTGAGGTGCCTCGAACGCAGCTAAGGAGGTGGCAGTGGTTGCGGTAGCAGTCCCGTCATCACTTCCAAGGCTCCCCCTAAACCCTAAACCCTAAACCCTAAACCCTAAACCCTAAACCCTAAACCCTAAACCCTAAACCTACACCGACATGGGTTGGGCAAGGATGGCGCAGATGGGCGAATCAGGGAAGGCGCGAGGGCCGTTTCCGGTGTACGGCTTCCCATTGCAGTAGTCAAGGGCCGTCACTTGTTTCCATGGGTGGTCCTAAACCCTAAGCTCTAAACCCTAAACCCTAAACCCCGTTTACGGTTGAGGTTCCAGGGTTTGAAGGGCATTGGGACATCCTGGCGGGAGTGGTGGCAGTTCCGGGGGTTCGAAGGGTTAAGGGGTAGATGGGTGACTCAGGAAAGTTTGAGAGCGCTCTTCTCGTGGCATAGCAGCAAAGGCTGAGCGCTGGAAGCTCCTGAAGTGTCAGGTTTAGGATCTAATATAGGGGTCGGAATAATTACTAATGCTATTCCCTTATGGCCCCTTCGTAAATATACGATAAGAAGCCCCTACAACCCTATTCTAAGTGTTAAGGCCCACATATTACACTTCAAGGAGCATGGGCGGCGATGACTTGGCTTGCGTGCGTACCTGCAACGGTGGCATTTCTCCCGCCGGGCTGCTGCAGATCCACGACCAGAAGCCCTGAAACTTCGAGCCCCAAACCCTAAGCCCTAAACCCCAAACCCCAAACCCCAAACCCCAAACCCTAAACCCTAAACCCCGACCCTAGACCATAAGCCCTAAACCCCTAAACCCTCTGACTGTTGCAACTGGATACTATGTTTTAGACATGTCTAGAAAATAGGGTTTAGGGTTTAGGGTTTAGGGTAAATAGTATCCAGCAACCCCCAAACCCCAAACCCCATAGAGTCGAAGCTTTCCGAAGCGGCCGTGCCAGGCCCTGGCGGCAGAGCTCTACGAGGCGGCGGTTCTCCAAGCGCACGGCGCTTACTGTGCGCGAAGCTGCTTTAAATGGGAGTTTAGGGTTTAGGGTTTAGGGTTTAGGGTTTAGGGTTTAGGGTTTAGGGTTTAGGGTTTAGGGTTTAGGGTTTAGCGTACTTCTTAATCAATCACCTAGTAGTAGAGTAGGTAACCTTGAACCTTTTTGGTGTAGTATAATCCCCTTATAATCCCAAAGAAAAGGTCAACCTTTAATTCGACCAGGTTATTGGAGAACTAAGATTCAAACAGTACTGCAGCTGTTATAGGAAGACTGTACTAAAGCACTACAACCCCAGGTGATACCAGTATTCCTTTTGTCTCGAGGTCAGGTTCCTTGTAAAGGAAACCCTAAACCCTAAACCCTAAACCCTCAACCTTTTACCTTTTAAACCCTAAACCCTAAACCCCTGTCTTGTTGGGGAGATCTAGGACAAAGCCGAGCTTTGCAAAGCCCAGCCCTAACCCTCAAGCCGAACACTGAAGCCGCCTAACACTCCGGGCACTAGATCACACGTGGCTTTGGGAAATTCGGGGTTTAGGGGTCAGGGTTTAAACCCTAGGGTTTAAACCCTAAGGGTTTAGGGTTTAGGGTTTAGGGTTTAGGGTTTAGGTTTTAGGGTTTAGGGTTTAGGTTCTAGGGCTGCCGAACCCAGGCCCACGTCCGCGCTTGTGCAGTTTGTGGCTGTGAGGGTGAGACGTGTCCTTATGGTCTACGTCTACTAATTGCCTAAGAACCCCCCCAAAAAAAACAAAAGATGTTCTTCCTTATAAGGGTAATATCGGGATTATTGATGTATATTCTTTTGGGGTTCTTAAGCAAATAGTAGTGGTCATCTTGGTAGCCCGGTGGTAGGCTTTTGCCCTTTTCTTAGTTTCAAGGGTTTAGGGCTCAGGGTTTAGGGTTTGGGGTTTGGGGTTCAGGGTTTTGGGGTAGGGTTTAGGGCTTTAGTGGAACCGACCCACAATAAGGATGCCCTTATCAGAATCTGGCTCCTGGGCTACTAAGTCATTGTTTTTGTCGTTGCTACTCGTCTCCATGTTCTAGTTACAGTAATGTCATAAGAAATACTTGTTTATTGTTGCTTGTCATCTCGGACAGTTAAAGCCTATGGCCTTTCGTATTTCGTCTCGCCCCAGTTGCCAGTTCGAGAAAAATGTGGGGGGTCCCGTGATCGCCCAGGCTTGGACGTTGATGCGACGGCGTAGACAAGTTGCCACGCTGCAGATGTAAAAGTCTAGTGCGTGCTGCAGGCCTACGACCCCAACCCCCCTATGTCCCAGGCACGATTTCAGTGGCTGCAGGCTCTTATGCTGAATGCCGAACCCACACCTGAAACCCTGAGCGCAAGGAGAATGATGGGTACGTTGAGTTTAAGTAGGGTTAGGACTCGGGTAACTAATGAGTGTAACCTTACTTAGGGTACTTACAACCCTACTTATCAGTACCCCCCAAACCCTAAACCCTCAACCCCCTAAACCCTCAACCCTGAACCCTAAACCCTAGCTGCTCCCAATTGTTTCAGCCGGAAGCCTCAACTCTCAGCCTGCTCCTTCTGCAGTGGCTCGCAGCAAGCTATTCCTTTTTTCCTTTGGGGCTTAGGGTTTAGGGTTTAGGGTTTAAGGTTTAGGGTAACTAGGACCCAGAGTAGGCCCTCATTCCCTTTCTTAGGGTTTAGGTTCCCTAAGCCCCTCTGAACCACAAAGGGCACCCTTTGTATTCCTGGGTTACTCTTGACTTGCATGATTGCACTGCAATATGCAAACCACACGTCCCACCCAGCAAGCAGCAAACACTGATCAAGTATGCAGGGGTTATTGTAGATGTGTATATGTATACGTGATTTTCTGTATTTAGTATTTATTGACGGTTTACATGCATATCATACATGCATGTGTGTCTGTATACGGGCTGTACTGCAGAGTAGGAAGCATGGCTCTCAAGTTCTCGGGGCACCGGACGTGGTGGGGGAGGGGGTCCGCAGTCATGCAGCTGGGTGCCATGATGGAGGAGGAGCCATACTTCAAGCCCATGTTCCCTGCCCGCATGTTGCGGAGAGTTGCGGGTATGTAGGGTTTATAGGGCTTGCGCTTCACGACGGCGGGATGGGTGGGTGTGTTTGAGGTCTTGGGGTCTGCGGGAGGGCTTGTGATCTCAGTCAAAGCCCAAGCACGCGGAGCTTGCAAAGTCGCATTTGCCCCCAAGGATCTTGTATCCCCCCCCCCCGCAAACCCTAAACCCTAAGCCCTAAGCCCTAGACCCTAAACCCTAAACACTAAACCTCAAACCCAGACCGGTTTTTTGGACATGGGCATTGAGCTGGCATTGCTTCAAGTTACATGGGGATCCAAGAACAGCCAAGTCTGGACCGGAACCCCCCCAAAACCTACAGATCCCAACCCCAATTCCCAAACCCTAAACCCCAAACCCTAAGCCCTAAACCCCAAACCCCAAACCCTAAACCCCAAACCCTAAACCCTAAACTCCTAGATCCTAGGCAGGTGGAAAAGCAACAGCTAAGCCCGCAATCCTGGGTTGGCCAGTGAGATGTTTACAAATCTTTTCCTTGCTTAGGGTTTAGGGTTTAGGGTTTAGGGTTTAGGGTTTAGGGTTTAGGGTTTAGGGTTTAGGGTTTAGGGTTTAGGGTTTAGGGTTTAGGGTTTAGGGTTCCAAAACCACACGCCTTCGCTTTCACCAGTCCGGGCGCGGACCAACCGAGCCGGCGTGACCTGGCGCGGCAGAGGATCGGCTTGACGGTTTAGGGTTTAGGGGTTTAGGGGTTTAGGGGTTTAGGGGTTTAGGGGTGTAGGGGTGTAGGGGTGTAGGGGTTTAGGGGTTTAGGGGTTTAGGGTTTAGGGGTTTAGGTTTATGGTTTAGGGTATAGGGGGCCACTATGCAAACCCCATTATTAATGGGTTTAGGGTGTGGGTTTTAGAGGATTTAGAGGGTTTAGAGGGTTTAGAGGGCTTGGGGTCCAGGAATTCCCACCTTCTGCCCTGTCGTCCCTTGATAGGCATCAGGGCCTCATTGTCCAGCGTGGTACATGAAGACTCCACCGTAGTTCCCTTCTTTGAAAGAATTCGATAGCTCCCCAATACAACCCCCCCCCCCCCCCCACTTCCCCGAGACATGTACTTTCTCGTCAGAGTACTTCTGTCAGACCACACGACCCTTCAACAGATAGATGAATCCGGGGCCATTGCCTGCGTCTGCTTACAGAGTCTTTGCCCCTGCTTGCGGGCACACCCGCCATCTACACAGAGTTGGACCTGAGTTGGACCTATCAGCAGCGCTCGCACGCATGTCATACTTAACTTTTGGTCCGCTTAGGTAGCCGGCAGTATGAGGTTCCTAGTTCCCATCTGTGCAGTTTCAGGGGACAGGAGCAGTGCCCGCAGGTGTGGCTGCTGGATGACGTCCAGTTCGAAACCCGAAACCCTAAACCCTAGGCCCTAGGCCCTAGGCTCTAAACCCTAAACCGTAGACCCTGAACCCCTCGGTGCCCATTTGGGGTTTGTCGTACATGTTTTTTTTGGGGTTTAGAGGCTCATATTTAGGAATATCTTCAGAGGGTTTCAAGGGCCAACGTCGTATATGGGGGTTTACGGGAATGGGGGACCCCTAAAATAGACCCAATAGTAGGATTCCCGTTACAACAACTTGCCCCAAATTTCGGAAACCCTGAACCCAACTTTAAACCCTAGATAAACCCTAAACCCTAAACCCCCATGCAGACCCCCACCAGGAAGCTAGAGCAGCTCCCGCGCGGATTTCTCAAGGCCGGCGGGGACGTGCGCAGAGCTTCAGGGGTACGCATGACGTAGGGTTTAGGGTTTAGGGTTTAGGGTTTAAGGTTTAGGGTCTTAGGGTCTTGGGGTCTTAGGGTCTTAGGGTCTTAGGGTCTTAGGGTCTCAGTTAAGGCTGGGTTTAGGGTTTAGCGGAGAGAGGCCGTGCACCATGGGGAGGGCGGGCGGTGGGCGGGATACCGTTGGGTCGGGGGCTGGGGGAGGGGGAGGGGGAGGGGGCCGAGAGCGCACAACCACATGCAGGAGTCCTTTGCATACTCCTTAACTGCGTATTGGGCTCCTTGGGTACCCTCGTCCTGTCTGCAGGCTAAGGATGTTCCAAGCACCGAACCCCAACCTTCCGATTAGGGACTCCAGCATGCCGCCCCCTAGGAGTTCTCGGGTGGAGAAAGTCCAGCAAGCCTTTGCAACAGGAACGGGCTGGGACCCTAAACCCTGAACCCTAAAACCTAAACCCTAAACCCCAAACCCTAAACCCTAAACCCTCAACCCTAAACCCAAATACATCTTCGACCCGAAGTCTTTCGAGACCCGGATCGCGAGCAGCGGATCGATGGTTTGTTGGTGCAGCTTTCGGCCCCTCAAGGTCTGTAGCGGCCGCCTAGACTCCCCTAAACCTTAAACCCAAACCATAAATGCAAAACCTAAGAACCCCACACCGTAAACCCTAAACCCAAACCCTAAACCCCAAACCCTAAACCCAAACCCTAAACCCGAAACACCTCCACCACAGGAGCAGTATCTGCCGCAGAGGCTGGATGCCGCTTGGGTGGAAAGTCTCGTCCAACGAGGCTTCGCGGACTGCTTGCCCTACTGGAAGGTACTAAGTACTCTTGAGGAGAGTTTAGGATTTAGGGTTTAGGGTTTAGGGGTCCTGGGCATGAAGCAGTGTAAGTACCCTAAGCAGGGCTGTAGCTGTAGTCACCCTACTTTATAAGCCTACTTCTGAGTAACCATGAACCTCCAAACCCTAAACCCTAAACCCTGAAGTCACTTGTACACAGCATTCCTCTTCAGTTGCCCCGTGGAGCATGGCTAGACGGGGTGGCAAAAAAACCTAGACCCTTGTAGGAATGCAACACGCCAGGCCGTTCTCTGCACCCTCTTACTGTTTGGGACAACGGCCGAATGCCTGAAGCCCCGAAAAACCTACCGTAACCCTAAACCAAACCCCTACACCCCTAAAGCATCCCAAAACAACCTAGGACCCTAATCGATTTTTTAACCCACAAATTTAAACATCCGAAAAAGTCCTACAAACCTCAAAACATCCTAAAAGCCAATTACCCAAAGACGCCTCCTCGAACCCCTAAACCTAATGCCCTAGTACCCTAAACCCCCTAAACGTAATACCCTAGTACCCTAAACCCTAAACCCTAAACCCTAAACCCTAAACCCCCTAAGCCCCTAAGCCCTGAAGCCTAAACCCTAAACCCCCTAAGCCCCTAAGCCCTGAACCCTAAATCCTAAACCCTAAACCCTAAACTCGAAGCAGACCCAAGGGCAGTGCGGTGTTGGTCGAGTGGGGCGGCGTGTGGCGGGCCGACAACCGCAGCCTCCGGGCCGAGACACAAGGCATCGTTTTCGCGCGTGCTGCGTACCCCCTTTCGGGTTTAGGGTTTAGGGTTTAGGGTTCAGGGTTTAGGGTTTAGGGTACCCTAAGCCCTAAAACCCCAAACCCCGAAACTCCAAAACTCCCAAAAACCCTAAACCCCCAAACCCTAAACCCCTAAACCTAGCACCAGGCTATGGGCTTTTCAGGTTCGACTTCGGAGCTCTGTGCAGTAGATAGGGGAGGTCTTTGAATCCAATTTAGGGTTTAGGGCTTAGGATTGTGTAACCCTGACCCCTTAAGCCCGATACCCTTAGCCCTTAACCCTAAACCCTAAACCCTAAACCCTAAACCCTAAACCCTTTACCCTAAACCCTAAACCCTAAACCCTAAACCCTAACTCCATAAGCCCTACACCCTGAACCCAGCCTGTTGTGAAGCTCCTTGATGGTTGCTTTGGCCGCGATCTGGGTTCAACGCTGAAAGAGGCCGCGTTCCCGGCATCCTGAGGCCTTCAAAATTTAGGGTTTAGGGTTTAGGGTTTAGGGTTTAGGGTTTAGGGTTTAGGATTGAGGGTTTAGGGTTGGGGAGAAACAAACGGTTAAGGGTTAGGGTTGTTGTCTAGTGCTGCTTTATTTCGTGGCTCTAGACAACACAAACCACAAGCTGCAAGTGGGATGGCTTAGGGTGTAGGGTTTAGGGTCTAGGGTGGCATGTGGGACAAAGCACCCATTGTCCAGCAACTCCCAGACCAAAAGCCCTGTTGGAGGTATCTTCTATCGAGGATCGAAGTGCTTGGAAGACACGGTCGTGTGCTGAGTTTTATGTATACGTACAGGCTAATCAACTCCATCCCCTCACGGTTGCTGGCTTGGGAGGGTTGAGGGCTGATGTGCGGAGGCCCTAGATTGGAGAGGTTCCCCCGTTCACTCTCTTTCGCGTTTGCGGTTCCGGGTTTAGGGCTTAGGGTTGAAGGCCAGTGGAACAAAGGGTCTAGGCAGCGGCTGTACTTTAGTGATTACTGGGTTCTGCGCCCGAGCACCCTTTCTGGTGGGGTCCTTCGGGGTTTCCGGAGCGTGTTTCTACATCCCGAACCCTCAAACCCCGAAACCTCTTTGTTCTTAGTGAGGGAAGGGGAGGGATTCTATAGGGTACCTCATTCCCTACTAACCCTACTACACCCTAAACCCTAAACCCTGAACCCTAAACCCTAAACCCTAAACCTAAACCCTAAACCCTGAACCCTTTCTTCCCAGGTTGACAAGGTCCTTCCATGGAACAGCACGGTCCACGCAGACGACGAAGGCGACGGCTGGGTCAAGGTCAACGCAGCTCGGCACTGAGAGAAGCTGCCTGGTTCTTAGTAGGGTTAGTAGGGATTGAGGTACCCTAAACCCTAAACCCTAAACCCTTACAGGGTATATATGTGGGGCCCTACTTCCCTCATTCCCTGCTAAGAACCAGGGGGTAAGGGAGTACAAAGGCTTGGTGTTCTTTGGGAGCGAGGCAGAATTCTCGTGATGTTGAGTAGTTCTTTAGGGTTTAGGGTTTAGGGTTTAGGTATATTTTCACAACTATATTACTGAACAAGGCGGCAAGAGACAGAGTCTTTTATTCGGCGTCTCTCGGTTTACATCCTTCCAGCCGAGCGCCGAAGCGGTCATTGGAGATGCAGGAGCTGCATTGAGCTCACTCCTTTCAACCGGTACAAAACCTGCCGACTCGCCAGTGATCATCCATGATCACTCGCCAGTGATCATCCATGATCAGAAGGAGCCCTAAACCCTAAACCCGAAACCCCAAAACCTAAACCCTAAATCCTAGAAATTCAGAGCTGTGCAAGCCGAAGGCTCAAGGAGGCCACGGTTCTCGCAAGGTATGTGGTGGGCCTCTCTAGGGTGGCTTTTGAGGGCACACTCTCATTAGTACTAGGGCTGATACTATAAATCCTGCATGACTCTACTATACTAAACTACCATAATTCCTAGGGTTTAGGGTACTTGGCAGGGTCATGCAGGATTTATATTATCAACCGTAGGGTGGCTTTTTAGGGCGCACTCTTGTTCTGACGCTTTGTAATTTCTGTTCATCCCTTTTTCATGTATTTCATGTTCATGAACATCCACTCGAGCATCGACGGATTGGACTTATCATCATCGTTGATTTTCATGGCTTAGGGCTGCACAACTTGTTTTTCCTTTGTAGTGCTGTGGCTTCGACGGGAAGCCTCAATCCTAAAGCCTCCTGGCCAGTGTTTCAAGAGCTTTCGAGCGTCCTGAAGAGTTACCTTGCAGTACAACTCGTCTCTTGGCCCGTGGCCAAAAAAGACCTAAATCCTAAACCCGATCACTGCGCCTCTTGAGATCCTAGCCTGCTTTTCGTGCCCTTGCGAAGCAAGACCCTAGGGAATGGCGCGGCAGAGAGAGAGAGAGAGAGAGAGAGAGAGAGAGAGAGAAACCCGAACCCTCATTTTTCAACGTCGATGCTAAGGAGGAAGGCTACCGTCCCATTGTCGCAGAGTGCTTCTCGGCGCTTGGTTTCGGGCCTTTCTCTGGTTGCTGAACTAGGGCCCGGTGAAGGTCCTTATTCTCTTTTTTTAGGGTGTAAGTAGATGCCCTTACCCCTTTATGAACCAAAAAGGGCACCCTTTTCATTCCTAGGTTACTCTTAGGTCTAGTAAGAGAAGTTCCCAGAACCCGCGCTAAATCCTATTCTCCTGAACCTTACCACCTTGTACAGGGCCAGAGAGTGGCAAGGGGCCTTCCCCCCGAAAGCGGCCTTACGGCGCGTAAGGGGCCTTCCCCCCGTAAGGGGCCTTCCGGCCAGTAAGAGGGCCTTCCCCCCGTAAGGGAGCCTTCCCGCCGTAAGGGGCCCCCGTAAGGGGCCTTCGACTGCCAGGCCGCCTTGGTTCCACGATTTTAAGGTTCATGGGTACCTATGCGTAAGGTTAGGGTTTAGGGTTCAGGGTTCAGGGTTTAGGGTTTAGGGTCTACCCTCAGCGCTTTAAAACAGGTTGTGCTTAAAAACCCGACTTTCCAAGAGAAAACCTGGTTTCTAGAAGGCAAGGAGAAACCCGGCTTTCCACCACGGGTTTTTACGGGTTTCGCACGGGTTTTTTACGGGTTTCGCACGGGTTTTTTACGGGTTGTGGGTGGGCTGTCGGAAACCTGGTTTTATGTCCAAAAACCAGGTATTCAGCACAATTTTGCTTAAAACCCAGGCTCTTGCGGCTCTACCTGCTTTAAAGCAGGTTTTGGTTTCCGTAGGTAGGGTTTAGGGTTTAGGGTCTAGGGTGCAGGTATAGTGGATGTGGCTGCATTATGATGAGCTATAACTTGCTTTACTGTACTTACAAGGGGGGTTTGGGTTTAGGGTTTCGGGTCAGGGAATAGGGTTTAGGGTTACACGTAGGATAATTTTGGGTCTCGTACGTTCAAGCCAGGTTTTGGGGCACATGTAGGGTTCCCATAAACCTTCAAGCAGAGCTTTCTGCCAAAAGGCGATCGCAAGGTGCAGATCTGCGATATTGTCCATGTACCCCTAAACCCTAAACCCCCACCCTAAACCCTAAACCCTGAACCCTCAACCCTAAACCCTAAACCCATCTGTCGGTTTGAACTGATAGAAGGTCCTGGCTTCGACGACTTCGACGCCCCCCCCCCCCCCCCCCAAACGAAACAGCAACCAAGGACACCCTCAAGCGCCTTCGGTTGTCCTAGAGGGTTCCTGCGCAGCCCTAAACCATCAACCCTAAACCCTCAACCCTCAAACCCCTTATTGCCACCCGAAACCCCCAAAACCCTACAGCCCTAAACCCTATGTAAAATACCCTGCTACCCTCACTTTTGGGGCCCACGCTCTGCTCTCCTAAACCCTAAACCCTAAGCCCTAACCCCGATCCCCCTAACCCCCCCACCAGCTCTGTCGAGGTGACCGGGTACTGGGCGAGCCGCCTTGGTAGCTCTGCTGCCAGCTGTTCTAGGGCATGGGGTTTAGGGTTTAGGGTTTAGGGTTTGGGGTTTAGGGTTTAGGGTTTAGGGTTTGGGGTTTAGGGTTTAGGGTTTAGGGTTTGGGGTTTGGGGTTTAGGGTTTGGGGTTTGGGGTTTAGGGTTCAGGTCCCAGCTGAGGCTCAGAGCCTAGGTTTAAAGAGGGCTTGGGGTTTCGGGTACAGGGCTTGGGGGCTTTGGGCTTGGCGCAGCTTCGGGGTTAAAAAAGGGGCTCAGGGTTTTGGGGCCTTGGGATTTCAGAGGCTCTGGGTGAACGCCAAGCCCTACGAGCTAAACCGCAAGAGGCCCAGTTCAGTCAAGTATGCTGCCCTCACCCGAGCCTTACTTGAAGGTTCAGGGGTAGTGATAAGCAGGGTTATAAGTGGGGTAGCTCTGGTCCTAACCTTACTTAGGGTACTTATAACTACCCTACTTGTAAGTAGCCATGAACCTCCAAGTATCTCGCCTTAGAGGCTCTAAGCCCTGAACTTATGCTCTGGAACCTTGTTGAGCCTTGCATCAAGGTTCATGGGAACTTATGTAAGGCAAAAAGTCCGGTCTGCATTTACGCAGGTGACAACCTATTTCTACATATCCGTGGACTGGGCATTTCCCAAACAGGGGTCCCCCTAATATACCCAATATATACTAGTAGTATAATCCTTCTATAGGAACCCAGACCCTAAACCCTAGACCCTAGACCCTAGACCCTAGACCCTAAACCCTAAACCCTAAACCCTAACCCCCCCCCCTGTGTTCGAAAACCACCCCAAAAAGCCCAGGCACCAATTTCGTGTAGTTCTCCAGCGTGTGGGAGCCTGTGAGGTGCAGGGAACGGGGGTTTCAGGGTTTTGGGTTCCAGGGTTTAGGGTTTAGGGTTCCAGGGTTTCAGGGAAGGGGAACATCCCAGCTAGGACCCTAAAGCCCAAAATCCTGAAGCCGAAGCCGCAAAATGCCAAGGCTTCTGCAGAGTTCAAGGTGAGGGTCGAAGGGTTGAGGGTCGAAGGGTTTAGGGTTTAGGGTTTCGGGTTTAGGGTTTAGGGTTTAGGGTTTCCCAGATGATGCTTTGAGTCTGGGTTCAAAAACGGGTTTTGGGGTTTAGGGTGTAGGGTCTAGCATGAAGACCTTCGTGGCTAGCATGCAAGATGGGTGTCTGCGGCGAGAATGTGCAGTTCGGGTTACGGGTTCTTTGCTACCCCTACTTGGAGGTTCAGGGTACGAAGTAACCCAAAAACAACTGTACTTATAGCCCAAGTATATCCATGTTAGGGTACTTACGGGGCTTGTAAGTGCGCTAACGCTACACTTCTCATTGGTTAAAACACTTTGTGTAAAACGCTCCGATCAGCAAACGAACTGACCCTGACAACCCCGACAATGAGAGCCCTTAGGCTCCATCTGCAGATTTTAACCCAGAAACTCCAAAACCCCATAATTAAGGAAGATACCTTAAATCATATTAGGGTTCCGATAATTATAATTTAAGGGATATTCCTTAATTAAGGGGTTTTGGAGTCTCTGCAAGTGTAGTTTCACAGTTACATCACATCGTCTAATACAGTGAAATCGAGAGAGAGAGAGAGAGAGAGAGAGAGAGACTGGACAAAATTGAAGCTAGCATACATCACCTAAGACCAGATGATTGCACTGTATCAGAGCCTAAACCCTAAACCCTAAACCCCTAAGCCCGGGTACAGCACAGTACATGAAGACCACACGCTGCATCGACCACCTTTCGCCGCCGCCTTTACGTCGCAACCTAGCCATAAAGCTTGGCTTTGGGTTTAGTGTTCAGACTGTAGGGTTCAGGGTTTAGGGTGTAGGGTTTAGGGTTTAGGGTTTAGAGTTGAGAAGGGTTCGCTGTGTTGTGACCCAACGGTCCACATAAGTTCAGTTCTCTTCGCGTACTTATAACCCTGCTTAGAAGTACCCTGGAACCGGGGCTAACCGGTTGAAAAAACATCTGTGCGAGGATTTAGGGTTTAGGGCAGGGTTTAGAAAAACAGTGTGCTTTCATTATTCAGTTTCTGGACTCTACGCATTATTTGCGGACTCTGCCTCCCCCGCTCTTCCCCTCTCTCCCCTCTCCGGCTGCAAAGGGAAAGTCGTAGCCATGGCGGGCGCCAAGGCCCCCGCTTCTGGCGACGACCCTGTGGCTGATCAGCGGGGTTCCTATATCCCCCTTGGGAATTATTGTTTTTATGTCGTTAAACCCTAAGCCCTAAACCCTAAACCCTAAACCCTAATTGCTTTTTTAAGGTTCTGAGGGGAGAATAGGTTCTGCATGCCCTTGAGGACTGAATGACCCGTGAAAGGTTTGTGGCCCAGACTTTAGGGTTTAGGGTTTAGGGTTTAGGGTTTTTTTTGTAGCATAGGGGGTATGAACCCCAAGCCTTTCTATGTCATTGGCCCAGAGATGTGGGACATGCGTTCGGTCTCTTTGGGTGGAGTGACCGCATGATGTGGGAACGGAGTTGCACAGACATCTGTCATCCAATGCCAGCTGAGAGGGGTCCTGAAACCGTCAAAGCACTCCAACTGTTTATAGGGTTTAGGGTTTAGGATATAGGGTTTCTAGCTTCTAGGTGGTTTTTGTTCTTACGGCTCAGGGCAAACAGAAGGATTCGGGGGTGCCTCAGGCCATATTTGAGCTTCCGCTCCTGCAGCTGAGGAGGCAGATGCGCCGGCGGAAGGCCTTGAGGTGCGAGTTGTCAGAGTGCGCTGCAGCATAAGGGTGCCTAATGTATATAACCCTATTATATATTCCTTGCATGGTCACTTTATGCCTACGTCGCCCGAAGGAAGCCACAAAGAACCCCTAAGGTCTCTTATAAGGGTCCCTCCTTTCGTTCCTTGACAAATGCTCCCCACTACTCCCTCAACCTCCCGAATCTTCCCTAAGGTTCCTTAGGTACCTACCCCCCTGAAAGTGCCAAGATTGCCTGGAAGCCCCCCTCAAAGGGAAGAACAGAGGGGACCTTACATGTTGTGGTATCTAAGGGTAGTTGTATGGGCCCTTAATCTGGTCCCTTACCTCCTTTCAAGGGTTCTGAACTATGGGCACTTGGGTCGTACAGGGTGTGTGAGGGGTACATAAGGGGTCCCGTTTTAAGGGCCCATACTAAGGGACCCTGAAACTACCGTAAGATGGTAAGTGTAGGTTCGTTTTTGGTGTGGAAAAAGGGGTGGCTTTTAGGCGGGGAGGCGATACTCCGTCCGGGCTTCGGGGCCCGCAGAAAGTTCGAGTTCAAGGGGTCGAGGCCTTATAAGGGCTTTGGGGTGTTGTAGAGTTCCATAAACATCAAAACTCCACCAAACCCTAAACCCTAAACCCCGATGTTCGCTCTTCGGAGATGGTGCTGCAGAAACCCTAAACCGTAAACCCTAAACCCTAAACCCTAAACCCTAGACCCTAAACCCTAAACCCTAAATCCCGAAACCCCTAAAACCTAAACCTAGGGCTTGCCTCAGCAAGCCTCTCCAGGTCATAGACGGGGACCCCTCTCCAGATGGACCGGTGGTAGATCGCTTAGGCGCGCAATCGGGAAGGTTCACCAGTTCGTCCTTTTTTTTTAGGGTTTAGGGTTAGCCCTCAACCACCACTAGGAGACATGGTTGCCGGAAGCTACGCAAATCTGTCCTCGTCCCCACAGAGGCATGTGATTGAGGAACCGTTCAATTGCACCATGACCCAGGAGCCTGTGAATCAAGAGGCACTTGTCTATTGTCTATAGGGGATAGCCTGGAGAGGCGCGGATCTCATCTGTTGAAGGCGTGCTGCACATGATGCCCCCCCCCCCCCCCCCCCCCCCACCGTTGCTCTGCAGATCTTTGGGAGGTTCTGATTTGCCTCAGGCAGCGAAGGGGTTCTTGGCCTTGAGGACAAGGCTCCGCCTCTGCTACAGGAAGCACTTGACCCCTAAACCCTAAACCCGAAACCCTAAACCCTAAACCGTGTGCCTCCTTTTGGCCCTGTGTATGAGAAGCCGATGCTCCCGTGCACAGGCTACCAGATCAAGTCAATGGATGGCCGCAGTTTGGGCACAGTGGTGGCTGATGCCAAGAAGTGCCACAGCTGCATCTGAAACTGCCCCGAACCCTCATGTTGTCATAGTGCCCATGCGAAAAGCTATACCTAAACCCTAAACCCTAAACCCTAAGCCCTAAACCCTAAACCTTAAACCCTAAACCCTAAACCCTAAACCCTAAACCCTAAACTTATACATCGAAGACCCTCAGCAGGCCAACCCTGCACCCAAAGCCCTGCATAACACCGTCTCTCTCTCTCTCTCTCTCTCTCTCTCTCGCTCGCTCTCTGAATGTGTGCGATGGCGTATATGGACCGCCGGACCTTGCCGGCCTTGTGCGAGAGTGAGCGTCGAAACCCTAAACCCTATAACCCTAGATCGAGAAGTGTACCAAAACAAGCCCTAAACCCTAAAGCCCTAAACCCTGAACCCTAAACCCCAAACCCCAAACCCTAAACCCTAATTCACATGCAACCAGGTTCTGGAAGCTCAGTGATGGCAAAGTCGTACAGAGCCCCGGCTCGAATGTGAGAGCCCTAAACCCTAAACCTTAAACCCTAAACCCTAAACCCTAAACCCTAATTCACCTGCGACATGAGCTTCTTCTAAATCCAAAAATCCGAGGAGCAGGTGCCCGGCGGCGATTCTCTTAGGGAGGTTTGCGAGTTTTAGGGAGTTTAGGGAGTTTAGGGGGTTGTAGGGAGTTTTAGGGAGTTTTGGGGAGTTTAGGGAGTTGAGGGTTTTAGGGTTGTAGGGATGCTGAAAAGTCACCTTGGAACCACTATGATACGTGCCCAATGCTTGGCCATTTCCCCCGAGAAGGCCCACCAACAATCCCGAGCGCTAAGCCCTAAACCCTAAACTGGCCCTAAACCCTAACCCCACCCCTAAACCCTAAACCCTAAACCCTAAACCCTAAACCCTAGGCGCTTTTCCTGAAGTCAGGGAGTTTGGGTTTCATCAGACAGCAAGGAAGGCCGCCGTCGGCAAGAAGTGGGCCTGGTCGGACCAGCCGCCCGTGCAGGTGTCGACGCCAGGCACAGCCTAAACCCTAAACCCTAAACCCTAAACCCTAAACCCTAAACCCCATAATACTGGAATAATATACCTGTAATTCCAAGGTTGGAGCCATGAGCTCTTAGCATGGTCCCTTACCCTCGTTTAAAGGGATTGAAAGGGATCCGAAGTATGGGCCCTTATTCTGTATAGGGTTTTGGGTTTTGGGTTTTGGGTTTTGGTTTAGAGTATAGTGTACATAAGGGTTATATAACAAGGGACCCAAATGAAGGGCCCATACTTCGGATCTCCTAGTAGTTGTGTCAGAATGCAATAACGCGCCTTCCTGGGCCGTTAACTCACCATGTCATAATGTAATCTCATGAGCGTAGTGAATGTAATTAGTTCACGCGTCTGATCCAAAATCTAAGTGAGCTTGCGACCGCATGATTTGATTAAAAGAAGCGCGAATGAATCGTGACCGAAGAATGTGTAGGTCTTCTGGCCCATTAACCTTAAAATTCTAAACCTGTGAAAAAGCGAACGAAGTAAGTGCATGAACAGACAACAACCCCGCCAAACAAAAGAAATGTTTGGGGGGTTGAGGACTTCACAATATTCCCAATCCACTCTCTGGTCTTGAGATACAGCAGCTCAACAACCTAATACTATATTCGCACTAAAAATAGGAATAGAAGCATATTTTGTTTTTATACTACAAATCAGAAGTTGCGGCGGGAGGTCTGAGGCCTACAAACTACTATTTGCTTAAGAACCCCAAAAGGATAGAAAAAACACGAATCCCCATATTGCTCTTATAAGGAAGGTTTGTCATTCTTATTATTTATTTATTTTTTTTTTTTTTGGGGGGGGGGGCTTCTTAAGCAATTAGTGGTACATAGGGTACACAACAATGTGGCGCCTAGGAGACGTACGTGCAGCCATTTAGGGTCTATAGGGTTTAGGGTATTCAGACAAGTCTAACCAAAACCCTCTCTACAAACCTGCAAGCCCTGGCTGCCATTGTGTAGGCCTTGTTTCCCCTTAGGGTTTAGGGTTTAGGGTTTAGGGTTTAGGGCTTAGGGTTTAGGGTTTAGGGTTTAGGGTTTCGGGTTTCAGGGCGCGAGCAGGGAGTCTGCTATTCGCTAGGGCGAACTTTCGGTTCTGAGCGCCCCAACCTTGAGGCCTGCTGAGCCCTAAGCCCAACAACTTATCTTGACTTATTTTTTGTTGTTCTTCATTACTGTACGACTGTATGAGAATTGGTATATTATAGTCTCAGAATTGAATCTCGAACTCCCCCGCCAAGCTACCCTAAAGCCCCCCCCCCCCCCTCCCCCCTTGACCACTACACCCCTAACCCGGAACCCTAAACCCGAAACCTGAAACCCTAAACCCTAATCCCTAAACCCTAAACCCCCAAAAGAAAGGCTCCAGGGCCTCAGCCGGCTCATCGCCTTCTCCTCTGCTGGGGACTCTGCCCTCCCCGGTCATGAGCCCGCAACCGGGCTGAAACGGTTTAGGGTTTAGGGTTTAGGGTTTAGGGTTTAGGGTTTAGGGTTAAGGACGGGGGTTTGCGAGGTCTTTCGGCTCTTCTGTCTTGGGTTTGGGTGAGGGCGATTGGGTTGAGGAGAATGGCAGGGAAGGTGGGGGGCAGTTGGGTTTCTACTGCATAAGAACCACACCAAAAATAGAAACATTCTTCCTGAAAGGGCGATATAGGAATCTCGTTTTGTTGAAGGGGGGGGGGTCTTCAGCAAATGATGGGTTTGGAGTCGTTTTAAGAACAGCTGCACCCTTCTTTGTTTTGAAGGGTCGGCCTTCTTTTTCAGTCTCGCTATCGGCGTCCCCTCCTCGGTATCATCATCATCGTTCTTTTTTCTGAAAGCGCTTAGCTATCATCGTCGTTCACATCACCTCATGACCATTGCTTTCATCGCCTCAAGCCCAAATCAAGCATGAAACAGCAACAGCGCTTTACCGGAGGGGTTTTGGGTGAGGGCCCTAAACCCTAAAGGGCTCAGACGCCTTCTAAGGAAAGGCTCCTCGCCGAGAAAGGCGCCACGCCATGAGCAGGAGTTGGTTTTGGTTTCTGTGGGGCGGGTTTAGGTGGGCTTGGAGTTTATGGTAGTGTTTTGGGCCTGGGCTTTTGGGTTTTGGGCGCTTTAGGGTTTGGGGGTTTGGGGTTTCATCATAAGGGTCCGGGGGCTGCGTGCCAGGGTCTGAATTCCCCCCTCCGCGCCCCCCTTCCTCCCCCAAAAAAGGCCTTCCTTATCCGAACGAAAAGGGAAGCCAGGAATGATCAGCTAGAAGCTGGACTCCCCCAAACAAAAGTCGCACTTAAGAGGGTCCCAGACCCTAAACCCTAAACCCTAAACCCGAAACCCTAAACCCTAAACCCTAAACCCTAAACCCTGGCTCCCCAGACCCAAGGGTCCCCAAACCCAAGGGTGCAAGCTAGGGTCCAAGGTGGAATTCCCATGATGGACTCAACTCGAAAAAAGCGAGCCCTAAACGGATGAAAGCTGCGCCGTTTTAGGGTTGACGGTTTAGGGTTTGGCGTCTTGGGCTCAGGAAAGAGTACCTATTATGTAGTATCCTTGTCTTATAGGGGCTTGAGCCGATTGCTGGAGACTCCGTTTCCGTCTGAACGGCCCGACCGAGAGGCAGTGCACAGCCGCATTGGAGCAGCAATCTTTGGCGTGGGAGGCCGTGGTTTAGGTTTCAGGGTTCATGGTTTAGCAGGGCATTCCCTTGTTACACGACCCTTTTGTGCACTAATCATGTAATAGATAATAAAAACAATAGAATGAAAAAAAGAATGATGATAATAAGAATAATAAGAATACTACACAAGGGTAAGGGGTCATACTACGCGCCCATGGCTCCAACCTTAGATCTAGGGTTCATTGACATGATTGAGAGACCGGGCTCGGGGACAGTTTCGAGGAGCTTCGACTGGAAAAGTTTCCGTTTGAAGCTTCGAATGAAGTTCAAGTTGCCGGGTTTAGTGTTTAGGGTTTAGGGTTTCGGGCTCGAGGGTTTTCCGATTCAGGGTTTAGGGTTGCGGGGTTTCGCCTGCGAGCTGCTGACTCCCCAGCAGTTTGCTAGCAGGCATTCTGCCGATCCCGAAAGCTGCCGAGCATCATCCAAGTTGACCTAGGGTTCACGGTTCAGAGTTCAGGGTTTAGGGCTTAGGGTTCAGTGTTTAGGGTTTAGGGCTTAGGGCTACGTCGGAGAGGGAGTTGTGTTCAGTAAGCCCTGCATGAACCCTATAATTCCCCCCCCCTCCCCCCCACCCCCCCCGAACCTTCTTGCGCGGGTTGGGTGGGGTGGGGTGCGCGTACTCTGGTCCAAGCAGCTGCGGTGCTAAGACCCTCCAAGCCTAAAACCTGAAGACCCTAGAGCCTTACGACCCTAAGACCCTAAAAGGTCAAAACCCAAAGACCCTAAAAGCCGAAAACCCTAGTACCCTAACAGCCTAAAACCATAAGACCCTCAAAACCCGAAAACCCCAAAGGCCCCAAGACCCCGAGACCCTAAACGCCCTGAGGCCCTTAAGACGCGCAGACCCTAAGATGCAAAAACCCAAAGACCCAAAGATCCAAAAATCCTAAAACCCAAAGAAGACCCTAAAACCTTAGAGTCGCCATCATGAGGTCTCACATACTTGAATCCCAAAACCCTTAAACCCCTAAACCCCTAAACCCCTAAACCCCTAAACCCCTAAAGCCCTAAACCCCTAAAACCCTAAAACCCTAAAACCCTAAAACCCTAAAACCCTAAAACCCTAAAACCCTAAAACCCTAAAACCCTAAAACCCTAAAACCCTAAAACCCTAAACCCTAAACCCTAAAACCCAAAAACCCTAAAACCCTAAAACCCTAAACCCTAAACACTAAACCCCAAACTCTTGAGTTCTCATGTTTGACCTCCTCGCTACCATCAGGAGCCCTTTGGGGTCGAGTGGCTGCCGAGGATGCCAAGGACGGGCGTCACCTGGGGAGGGTTTAGGGTTTAGGGTTTAGGGTTTAGGGTTTAGGGTTTAGTGTGGGGGGTGGCTGGCAGAAGGGGATTCGGACTTGGAGTGTTGGGGCGGGCTTCGGAAGTTGCGTTTTTTACGCCCTGTCTTCCTTTTCGCGCTTCGGGCCAACGACTGCCAACACCTCGTTGCCATGGTGTACATTACATGCAACCCCCCAGACATTCAATGTTTTTTGCATCAACATTAATCCTAAACCCTGAACCCCAAACCCTAAACCCTAAACCCTAAACCCTAAATTCTGAGTGTCCTTTTGGGAGTTGGTTGCATTCCAAGGTTCCGGGCACGCTCGGTCGCAGTCTGCGTGTCCGTCATCTAAGCTACACCCTGAAGCGTGGAACGCGTACGACCATGGATGCATGTTGAGAAACTTCACTATATCCCCCTTTTGTTTATACAAACCCGAGAGTATATTTAAAAATACTGTTTGTATTAAGGTTCTAAGGGGAGTATAGTTCAAGGCAAAGGTAGGTTCAAGGGCTGTGTGTGTGCTTGACTAACTGCAGGCCGAATGTGCAAACAGACTCCTGCCAACATTTTTTCCAGCCCCTTTGCCCAAAGCCCTACCTACAAGTACCCATGGTCCCTCAACCCTTAACCCTAAACCCCAAACCCTAAACCCTAAGCCCTAAACCCTAACCCTAAACCCTAGCCCTAAACCCTAAACCCTGAACCCTAAACCCTAAGCCCTAAACCCTAAACCCTGAACCCTAAACCCTAAACCCTAAACCCTGAGCCTCACTTCGCTCCGAGTCATGGCTGTTGGACACTGGGCGCCGGGCCAAGAAGGCCTCGGAGAACGTGCGACATGGTGGCAGATGCTTGAAGTCTAGGTTTAGGGTTTAGGGTTTAGGGTTTAGGGTTTAGGGTTTAGGGTGTAAGATTTAGGGCTTAGAGTGCAGGTTCTATAGGAATTAGGGTTTATAGGGCTTGGGTTCAGGGTTTACGGCTTAGGGTGTAGGTTCTAGAGGCTTTAGGGACGAGCTTCAGCCTACTTGGTGGTTCATTGGCAGTTCTAGGTGGGATTAGTCGGGTTGAATACAGCCACGACAACCTTTAGCCATCATTGCATCCCGAAGTCCTTTATTTCAGGGGTGTAAGGAGGGACGGCAAGAAGGGACACTTAATCTTATTCCACAAATATAACCCCTTATATATATATATATATACACATACACCTTTGATAGTCCCTATATCCCCCAAAGAACCCCTAGACAAACCCCCCTAAGGTCCCTTATAAGGGTCCCTCCTTTAGTCCTAAACCCTAAACCCTAAACCCTAAACCCTAAACCCTAAACCCTAAACCCTAAACCCTAAACCCTAAACCCTAAACCTGAACCCTAAAACCTAAACCTTAAACCCTTTAAAGGTCCCTCCTTTAGTCCCTTGACTTCAACCCTCCCAAAAAGAAGCCAAGGCAGTGGCGATGGGAGGCTGGGCGCAGCCAGGGGTTACCCATCTACCCACAAAA